AGTGTGACGATTAAAAAATAATAATATTTTAATTACAGTGATTAGTTAAAAATAATGTAAATATAATTTTGTTCTTATTTTTTTTGTCTAAAAAATAATGATAAGATTGTAAAGTTTAAGGGTGTGTTTGTTTGGGGGTTTGAATTTTGAGTTGGGATTTGAATAGTAAAAATTTTGAATTTGAATAGTTGTATGATGTAATATAAATAGGTGTTGATGTGATGTTTTGAATGTAAAATTAATTTTTAGTATAATATAAAAAATAAAAAATAGGTGTTTGATTTGATATTTTTGGAGGAAAAAATGAGATGAATAATAACTTGAAAATCTAATCCCCAAACAAACACACCCAAAGAGTATTTGTAAAATAAAATAGAATCCATAATTATTTTTTTGTAATTGTACTACTCATATAACATAATAAATACCCTTCAAACTTATAATATATTACACAAATTTCTATACTTTTATATTACACAATACTAATAAAAATATTTTTATATTTTTTACTATAATACTAATATTAAAAAATATACGTAGAAAAAGTAAATGACAATTTTTCAATAGAATAGAAGGAGTATGTTAATTAAGATGAGACAAAAGTTGTACAAATATAATTCCTCCGTCCCAAAATAATAATATTATTTTTCATTTTCGTCCGTCTCAAAACAATAACCTCATTTATATTTTTTACAACTATCTCCTCACCTTTTTACAAAACTATCACAATCTTTTCACAATAATTATATAAAGTAAAAATATTTGAGTATTATAGAAATACTTTTCCATTAACTATTAATATAATATTATTATTATTTAATTCTCCTACTAATTTCAAATATTACTATTGTTTTAAAATGGATTAATTAATGTTTCAGAAAAATAAAATAAAATAAATCGATAATATCTATGACGCGCGGAACGGACAAGGCGAAAGGGACCCATACACGTGTATGATTGCGACGTGGCAGCATATTAGCGCTTGAGATCAACGGTGTGCGACGCCTCAACAATGGAGTGGGTCCCACCAATAATATTGGACTAGCGAGCCGTCCACACGCCCATTTTACTCCTAAATAATAATATATATATTTTTATTTGCAGTACTTTATACTCCTTCATTGCTAAATACGGTGGACGTATTGCTGTAGATACGATAACACATGAATTTAGATAAAATATAATTAGTAAAAATAATTATTATTTAGTAAAAATAATTATATATTAAAATTAAAATAATTAAATAATTTAATTAAGATTAAAAAATATTAAATTATAAAATTTAAAATATAATTAAATGTATAATGAAATTTTCCAAAAAAAAAATAACAGATTACGTGTAACGGACGAAAATAAAAATATGGAACAGAGAGAGTAATTAAACATTTATACTTAATAACATATTTACTTTAATTAATTACACATAATATTTTCTTCCAACAATTAGGCAAGCCGGATAATGTACGGAGCACATTTAAAAAACATAATAATAATCCATTTTTAATCTCAATTTCATTGTTTGACTTTTTTTTTTTTTTTTTTTTTTTTTTACTTTTATATATCCGGTCAACTTATCACTAGGTTTATCTTGCAATTTAATTTCCACTCTCTTTCTTTTTTGGTTTTTTTATAAAAAAACAAATTGGATGTAACAAAAATCACCTATTCAATGTTTTTTTTTTTTTTTTTTCATTATTGTTAATGAATATATATATATAAAAATTTAAGTATTTAACATACAAAATATTACATTCAGTTATTATTTCGTCTAAAAACAATAATAAAATAAAATAAAATAAAAACATACACAACAAAAACTAATCACACCATGGGCATGTTCATTTGCTAGTTAATTTGTTTTCATTTTAATTTAAAATATTAATCATGAGATTATTTTAAAATTTATTATCAAATGACATATTTTTTAACTACATATAGAACTAATTATGTAATTTTAATGAAACAAAATACTCCCTCCCTCCCATGTAACATGGGTGTATTAATGTAGACACGATAATTTAGATAAAGTATAATTAGTAAGTAATTGAAAAATATATCTAGTAAAAATAATTATTATTTAGTAAAAATAATTATAGATTAAGATTAAAATAAGTAAATAGTTTAATTAAAATTAAAAAAAATTATAAAATTTAAAATTTAAAATACGATTAAAGTGCATAATTATATTTCTAAAAATAGAAAGAACAAGTTATATGGTATTGACGAAAATATAAAATATGGACAAATTATGTGAAATAGAGGGAGTATCAAAATTACTTGCAGTTGGTTGGTTGAAGTTATCTATGCTTTTGTCTACATATGTTTTCAAATTATATTTGACAATTGACATTATTCATTAATAATACAATTTTCATAAATATGTTGGTTCCTAGTACATTAAGTTTTATATTATATTAAACAATTATATTAATATAAAATTTTATTTTTCAAATGTTTTTTTCGTCCCAAAACAATAGTCTCATCTTCATAAATAAATATATCACCGTAAAACTATCCCTACTTTTTCATTATTATTACACAATTGTCACTACTTTTTACACTAATATACTCACAAGGGCAAAAAAGTTATTTATCCTTACTTTTTACCGACTACCAATATAAAACCAATATTCCTTAAATTTTATGTCCGACACAATAAGACTATACTTTTGGGACTGAGGGAGTAAAATTTAAAACTCTTAACATTTCAAAAACACATCTAAACACAACATTGGTATCTTGAGTTGCTCGGAAAATATTAAAATTTTTAATAAACTATACTCCCAAATATTGAGAGTTTGTTTTTTTATTATTTTAAATCAAAATAAATATTATTTATTTACACTGTTTTTAATAAAAATATATTATTATTTTTTTCAAAATATTAAATCTAAATACTTTTAACAACATCTCACGATCACACGTTCAATTCCTACTGCACCAGACTATTCTCTACTGGGCTACCAATTTCATTGTTGACATGACATTTAAAGTAATAATATTTAATTAGTTAATAAAAGCTAGTTATAATATTATTTTTAATTTTTTATGTAATTAATTATATTGATAGTTTTAAAATAAATTTAGTATATATGATTAAATTTTTTGAATATATATTTAAATATTTTAAAATTATATTTAAAAAATATATGCAATATGTATATCATTTTCAGAGAATAAATTTTTCTATAAAACAAGTAAATAAAAAATACGTTTATTTATTTATAATTAACATAAACTAATTTTTATAAAAGATTTAAAAATTTAAATGTAATAAAAATATTTGTTTTTTTGGCCGAGAAAGATAAAAATAAAAGGGTTTTGAGTAGGTCATACATGATGTATGAATTTATATACTATAGATAAATTGATCTATATTTGTTAAATAATTTTTATTTAGTAAATTTTACCCAAAATAGAAAAGTGTCGATTGTTATATGACAGAAAAAAAAAAACTAATAATCAAATAAAAAAATAAAAAAATTATAAAAAAAATGTGAAAATTATGTAGTAAAAATTCGAAACAAAATTCAAAATAAAAATGTTCACTTCAATATTTTAATCAAGATAAATAAATTGATTAAATTTATTTCAACACTCTACACATGACGAAGTCAAGTTTATCTTTTAATTTTTTAAAAAGAACGTGACCCTTCAGCATGAGATTTAAACACAATCTTGAAGTCAAAAATAATTTTTTAAAAATAATTGAATAATCAGTGGAGACTACGTCATAATAATTAGATTCCACCAAGATGCAATTTTTATTTTTATTAAGTTTTCGATTTAAATAATCTATATTAATTTTTTTTTTATTGATTTAAAATATCTAAGAATATACCAACATGCAGAATATTCAAAGCATACATCACCCATTTTCCAATTATTGTGGTTAACAAACATACATAATTTATGTATAATATTTATTATTTTTTTTTATCATATAATGATTATAGAATAATTACACCAATTAAAATTACATTAACAATATCATTTTAATAAAAATTTAGACCAACTTGAATAATAACAATGAACATGAAATGGTCATTATTGTTATGATTATTTTATTTTATATTTTTTTAATTGTAGAAAGATAATGCCACTTAGATTTACCCAAAGGTTGCAAACAATAGAATAAATAATTAAAAAAATATATATATATAATTGGATGAAAATAAACAAAGATGCTTTTGGTAAAGTTTCATGGACACAAGAAAAGGATCGATTAATTTTTTAAATTACAAACTTAGTATCTGTCAATTAAAATTGATGTAATCTAGTTGAGATAGACTCTATAAAATTATTTATTGGGTTATATATATCACAATATAAAATAATACTCCTACCAATCATAGCTTACAAAAGCTTCTTTATATTAGAGGTTTTGAAAATTTTGTAGTCAAGAGAATTTTTATAAATAGTAATCCCTTAGTCCCATAAATATAATTTTATTGGGTTGAGCACGAGATTTAAATAATATTGATATTATATTGGTAATGGATAAAAAGTACGAGTAAAAGACTTTTTTACCCTTATGAGTATATTAATGTAAAAAGTAGTGACAATTGTGTAATAAAAATGAAAAAGCAAAGGTAGTTTTATAGTGATATGATTATTTATGAAAATAATACTATTATTTTGGGACGGACAAAAATGGTAAAGACTATTGTATTGAGACGAAGGGAGTATTAAAAAGTTTGATATCATTTTTTTTATAAACTTTTTTTCAGTCAATAAAGAGTTCAAAATTTATCTAAATATTAGAATATATATATAGTTATTTAATACTCCCTTAATATATTTTTTTATTTAATAATAAAAATTATAAAAAATAGATATAATTTCTTAGGAACGAGTTTTTTTTTTTTTTTTTTGTTTTTTAAATAACAACAGCAAAAAAAGTAAATATAAATTGAAAGGCCAAATAACTGAATTTGAGAAATTATATTCCAACAGAAGTGAAGGGCCCAACGAAGGCCCAAATTATAAAATAAGCCCAATTCATATCAATCCAAGAAAACCACAATGTAACAATAATCCCCAAATTTGCCCAAATCACTTCTTTCTTCTCCAATTATGCTCAATTTATTTTACAATTTTCATGTTTAGGACAAAGAAATGTGACAAAAAAAAAAAAAAAAAAAAAAAAAAATGATCCCTTCAAATATGAACATTGAAGGAATGTGTCAAAGTTCCCACATGAAGCAAATGTTGTCCTAAGACAACTTTCCTATTCCCATTTTCGTCTACAGCACTCAAATGTCTGCACACGTCTACTTTAAACTCAACAATCTCTTCATCTTTTGGTCCCAACTCCATTTTTCTAAACCCAACAAGCTGCCTCGTCGGCGCGCCGCCGTCGACGTCGTCGGGAGGGCTCGAGAATAGCATCACCGTGTGCCCGCCGGTCCTCGACCCCACGTTCTTTACGCTTAGATGGACGTCGAAGTCTAGACCGTTGCATGATTCCTCCGCCGCGTCGATCGATTTGCATGACGTCGAGAGACCTCGACGGCATTCGTGGTTCTCATCTAAAGGGAGCGACACGTGCACCGGCGCCGTAACTAATCGGTGGTCGAATTCGGTGTAGCTTAGCCCGTGCCCGAACGGGAAGACGACCGGGCCGGTGTAGAATCTATAAGTTCGGCCCGGATAGCCTCGGGCCGGATCAGGCCTCATGTTCATGTCCGTCATTTGAACTTGATTGACGTACGACTGCGGGTACCAAGTCATTGGTAGTTTCCCGCCTATCATACATTTGAAACAATTTCAAATTTGCAGTCATTTGAGAACATATTTAAACAATAGAGGTAAGAGTGGTAATAATATTTTATGACAATGCAACGACGCTTACTAGGGTTGTGATGTCCGAAGACGACATCGGCAATGGCGGCACCGCCGACTTCGCCAGGGAACCCGACCCAAAGGATGCTCGTCACCTTCGGGTCATCTTTCGCGAATTGCACGTCCATGCCGCCTCCCGACATGATGACGAGGATCACCGGTCCTCTCGATGCTCTTGCAACCTCGGACACCAACGTTTGTTGTTGTCCGGGGAGAGTAAGATCGACGCGGTCAAGTCCTTCCCCCTCGATCGATTGATTCGATCCAACGACCAAAATCACCGCATCAGCTCCGGCTATTACATTCTTCGCGCCATCCACATCGGCGATGGCGCAAAATACATCGGCGCAGCCGGGATGGTACACCGTCGGCACCGAAGCCGTCAAACCCTGCAACGGCGTTACGTACTTGCAAGGCGTCCCTGAAAAAAACACGGCGCGCGGAATTTCAACGTAACGACAAACAATCGTTGCAAATCGAGACAAGATCGACGACAATACCGGCGTAGTTTCCGATCATAGCGACGGTTGCATTCGCATTGGGCCCGACGACCGCCAATGACGTGATCGCCGCAGGTGACAACGGCAACGACCCCTCCGTGTTCTTCAATAACACGATCCCCTGTCGAGCAGCTTCCCGTGCAAGTCCTCGATTCGCTTTTGTGCAGACATCGTTCGGGCCGAGGCTCCCGTAAATCTGCCGTCGCGGGTCGCCGTCAAAGAACCCCAACCTCATCATCGTCGCCAAGTTGTTCGAGACAGCTCGGTCGACAGCCGACTCGTTGAGCAGCCCGCGATTGACGGCAGCCCGGGCATTCTTCACCAGGAAAGAGCCACAGTTGAGATCCAACCCTGGATGATCGATCAAATAAACTCAGAAACAAAACATCCTTAAACTCCTCGAAAAAAAAAAAGTCGAAAAAATTGTCCGTTTCCGGTTCGGACCTGAGTTCACAGCCAAGGCTGCAGTCTCCTCTGCTGTCTTGGTGAACTTCTGCCTATTGAACATCTCTTCCAAGGAATCGCAATCGGACACGATGTAGCCGTCGAGCCCCCATTGCCCCCGGATTACGCCGTCTAAGAGCTCCCGATCGCCGCAAGTCGGCTTTCCGTTCACCTGATTGTAAGAACACATTACGCTCGCGACATTCCCCTGTTCGACGCAGCTCCGGAACGGCGGCTGGTACGTATCGATCAAGTCTTGTTGCGACACCTACCTCAACGCCGAACACAAAAATTCGATCGTTTAACTTAAAAAAAAATCTAACATTTGAAATGATCGCAGCGTAAATGATCGTTTAGACAACGTACGATGGCGTTGAAAGTGTATCGAAGGTTCCCTTTCCAGTTGTCGAGATCGTAAGCCGTGTAGTGCTTGCAGCACGCTGCGACTTTGAGCTTGTAATGATCGCCGGAATCGTCGTCCCTCTGCTGAAGGCCGCGGACGTAAGCCACGGCGTATTTGCTCGAAAGCAGAGGATCTTCGCCGGGAGTTTCCTGGCCCCGGCCCCATCGAGGATCCCGGAAAATGTTGACGTTCGGGGACCAGAATGTCAGCCCCGATAGCGCCACGTTGTACATTGCACGAGCCTCCGTCGAGACAACCTTAGAAATGAAACAAACGTACGTACGTGTTAAAGTAATGTCGGTCGAATTTGATCGGGAGAAACAAGGAAGATGATGGAATGAGAGATGTCACAACAAGACATCAGCATTGTAGTTATTATTATTATTAATTGATTAACTAAATTGGAAGCTGTAGAATTAAAAATAAATTAAAATTTGATTTGGATTTTAATTTAGGAATATGAGAATGACCTGTGCGATGGCGTGGAACAATGACTCATTGAAAGTGGCAGCGGTGAGGATGACCTGAGGGAAGCTGGTGGCGGCGGGGACCGGGGAGAGGAATTTGGTCCCGGGACCGGTTGAGGAGACGCCATGCAGGGCCTCCGACCACCACTCGTATTTAGGGATGCCGAGGCGGGGGACTTGGGCGGCGCCGCTGGTCAGCCACCCGATTTTCTCGTCGAGGGTGAGGCGGCCGACGAGATCCGCCACTCGGGCGGCGGAGTCCGCCGACGGGTCGCAGAACTTGAGGCCGTTGAGCGAAGGGTTTTTGGAGAGGTCGCAGGCGAAGGGAGGTCCGGGAGCAGGAGCTTCTTGGGGGCGAACTTGAGGCATGGTGGAAATGGAGAGGATGATTGTGAGTTGCAGAAGTGGTAAGAAAGGAAGAAGAGAAGATGGCATTGTAATGGCCATGGAAGAAATGGAAATGGAAATGGAAATACGACCGACTGGAAATTATGGAGTGAGGTAATGAGTTGATGAGGGGTTTTTATAGAGATCGGTTTGGATGGAGCTCACGATATCAATATGTATGTATGTATGTATATATATATATATTGTCGATGATGAATGGTGTGATTCAATTAAATTTGAAGTCGTTTTCTTTGGTTTATTTATTTTTGTATATCTGTTACTGTTATTATTTGTCATGAAGCCAAAGATGGCTGTGCGTCTGGAAATTTTTAGGAATGCAAATTTGCTGTTTGTTTTTTCGGACTAGCAACACTGAATTGTGAAAGTAGAAATATATATATATATATATATGCATGTGAGTTAAAAAGAAGAGTTTCCGATTATTTGATGCCGGGTAATAGATATATAATATATATATTTGCAGCTACTGTGGTGAATTTGCAGCTACTGTGGTGAATTTTAAATTTAGATCAGTGCTGAAAAACATATCGTTTGATGAGACACAGTAGTATTACAGACAACATTATATATATTAATATAATACAAACACGTAATTATGAACAAACCGTATAAATTTTTATTACATACAAGATGCTAGGGGTGCTATTTTGAACCTAAACATTCCCTATATATATATATATATAATTGTTATAATTATCTTTGAATTTAAAAGGTGGTTATTTCCTAATTTACCTAAACTCATTATCTTCTTCTAATTTTAATTAGGGGTTGTAATTGAGTGTAGGAAGATGAATATTATTATTACTCACATTAAAAAAATTGAATCTTTCTTGAATGCCAAGGTGAAATCTGAGCTAATATTTGAAGTCACTCTATGAAGTATATGTAGAGTGTACACCACCGGTCATCTGTAATTTTTTTAAAGACATCCTAATTGCATTAAAGTACAAATAAATATTCCCATTATTCAAATATTTATTTATAGTAACAAAAGGAAGAAATGAAAGTGTTTGTTATTCTAATTTGATATATCAATAAATAATAATAATAATAATAATAATAATAATAGGGCACATAATGCAACCTTCAAAGGAACAAACGTAGGTATGGCCATAGAGGTTTAAATTCCAAGACATTCAAAGGCCACTCAATAAGGTTGTTTAGAACAATTAATTGTAAATGAAGACATCTCATTTAATTATGGAAGCTTATAATAAATCGATTAAAAATTGCAATTTTTTTGGGACTCCCCGTGATTGGTCTGTCAGCTGCCTACTTTCACCAGGCTGTCAATTTAGGCCTACATAGGATTTGGACATTCTTTTCTAATTCTAATTTTCAGTAATTCCAATTTCTTGCTCTGAATAGAACACCCTACCTATATTCATATATTTAAGCTGTGATCAAGACATTTTTACCTTTCTGTCTCCCTCCCTCCCTCATTTACTTAACCTACAAAAACAAAATAATCAATTTATAAAAGAGCCCATCAAGCAAATCCTCAAGAAAATTTATTTTCAGTCTAAAAAGTAGAGAGAGAAACAAGAAACAGTACAGTGGGCTCTGTTCTTCACAAAATCTTCAAGTAGAAGTTTACATAAAGAGTGATCTGTTTTGCTCATTACCAATAGCCATTATTGATTTGCTATTTAGGATTCAACAATAGGGTGAATAAAAAGTTGACAACCACCAAAATAACATGTTTATTTCTTCATAATTGAGAAATAATAATTGAAGCACAAGGAGGGAAGAGGGAGGAATTGGTCCCAAAAACAAATAATGCAAACTAAGACAGCTTCCATTAATCATACTCATCCTTCAGCACTCTACCAAACAATAATCATTTAATCCATAATCTTCATCTATAATCCAACCAAACAAGAATTTAAACAATGCAAGATGATTTATACTCCAAAAGGTTTGACATAAACATATGGTCTAACATACTCTGCCAATGCAGTTAAGTTCTAAACTGATCAATCCCCTTGAAAACTATTTGAATTCAAAAGTAATCATTCGAAGCGCTTTTAATATGATTATGACCATCACATACTGGACGATTTTGTCCGAACAACAAATGCAAGTCAGAATCAAAACTTAATGCAAGCCAATCCATGTATCAATCTTAGAACTGAAGCATACTGAAAAGCAGCATACCCTGAATGGTTGTGAAAGGCAAATCATGTAGGGAAGATGGTTGGGCTGCTGCTCTAATCTAAATAAAATTCAATCCTACTCACGACAGCATAAAAAAAAGACTTAATTGTTTACATCACAACCATATGCATGGCAGTTGGACGTACACTATACTTGGGATCAAAAGATTGCCATATTGAGACTCCCATCCTACCTTACAGCAACCAATCATCATCTTATCATCGATGATGTGATGCTATTGTAATTGCGCACTGTATACAGAATATATAGTTTCTGTTCTCTGAAATCGAAAAGCAGGATTCACTTTCTGCCACTAGTTCCAGCCCGGGGTTTGGCTTTGACCTCAGCCTCCTGACAGAGCATATGCATGTGCAATGGGTATTAGAAACGCACAAAGCTACATAGATTTAGCAATAAAAAAAAATGGGAACTGTTGAACATGGTACCTGTGGCAGGTGTAGGTATATATACGTCTTGGCAGCTGACGGATTGTGATTTTCAGCACCCTTGCTCCAATCGTAACACACCTGAATTTTAAGTACATATAAGGCTGAGCTGTCTTTCTCCATGGGTTTAAAGTAAATATGAAATGCACAACTTGTAATGCTGCTGAAGGAGTAGGCAAGCCACATACCGAGTATGCATAGATTGAACCATCATTGTTGAAAGTGCTGCAAGGAATAGGCTGGCCGCACCTCAACATTGCCTAAAACCCACAGATTAATATAAGTAGTGAGGTACATAAAATGCAGCGCCATAGGACAGATTGATTATTCAATCAGAAACCTGTTATACCTTAAGCCGTTGTTTGCTATCTTTGTCCCAAAAGTGAAATGCTCCATCAGATCCAGCAGTGGCGAAAGTGTGATGGACCTGTGATATGGAAAAAAAGCCGAATTGTTGGCAGAAAAATAGTAAAGAAGAAACAAATTGGAAACAAACGTTAGATCTAGAACTTCGTAAATTATGGTATGTTAAACATGTGAGAGCAATATACACCAAAATGTCAAAACAACAAAGCAAGAGTAACAATTTAGGAGCAGAGATAAACAGAAGACTTAAGAATAAAGTTCAAGTGAAATTCTTATACCAATATTAATTACCAAATATGCATGGGAGATGTGATGCCTCATTTTCCTCATCATAACTTAATCTTTCTTGGCCAAAACTATTTTCCAGATGCATCATCATGAAAAAGTAGAGTTTCAACAACCACCACTTCAATTTCCAAGAGAATAGGAACGATTATTACCATGGACACATCATGAATGTTCCGTACCAGTTAACCAATTTCAGAACATATAAAAACTACTGATGAGTGAAGCGAAAGTGGTACTCCAGTTCAATGGGAGATTTTAAAAAAAAAAAAATCTTACAGGGTGAAAATTTAATGAGTTGACAGAGTAAATCTCATTCCCATCTCTGTGGCATTTGAAGGTGAAGTTTTTGCTTGATTGTGATTCATCAAGATGGTGCACTCCAACCCTCCCCTCAATTGACCCAACCTGAAAATTGGGGTGAGAGATGCTGTTATTGCAAAGTATTCAGTATCAACAGTGATAGGGTTAATCACTAAAGAACTGAGGGCAGTATGAGATGACACATTTTCAGCCTCAATCTTTGTACATATTTCCCTGCAAATCTATTAAATGGAGCCAAAGACGAAAGGCATTCTAAACTTTGAACATCCAAAAAGAAAGCATTGAACACTGTGCAATCAAAATAGGTTGAAAGCATCTACATACAGCTGGAGTAAGCAAAATGGCAAAAAAAGCATGATATTGATCAACACTCCTGATTTTGTTTCCATTATAGCAAAGGAAAGATTCAGTGTTCTTATTAACTCAATAAAAGCTTGCTTTTAGCCATGTTCATTTCGAAAAAAATAATCGATTCCATCCGGGACAGATTTGATACTTTGCAAAGAAGAATCATTGAATTGAAAGATGAAGTCGTCACTATTGTGCATGCATGGCATAACCTTGAAAAATTTATCATTTAGTTCGAGATGATAATAGCTTTGTTCTCTTTTAACTTTATCTTTTACTATTCAACTATCACAATTCGCAATAATTATACAATGTTTCCTCTCACAAAACATCACATCAAAATATAATAATTACACCAAAACCTAAATATAGAACACACACAGAACTTACCAAGAATCCTTGCTGATCAGGGAACGCCGCTAAACATCTTGTCTGGTACTTCAAGGGTGACACAACTCTCTTGAACTCATTCTGTCATATTCCACAAGAAGAAAATTTATGCTAGCAGAAGTGATTACATCAAAGATTAAACAGTATCTTTACTATTGATGAATGATTAAATAATAATAATATATATTCTTTTTAGTAATATGCCAAAACCCATGTGAGCATTCAGCAACAGAGAAAGAGGAATAGAAACAAAAATACGAGAGGCTGGTAGCAGGCACTACACAAGTAGTGTGTTGAATCATCAAATTGCTTGTTGAGAGATATTGTTTGTGCTATAGTCATGCAGACAATGCATGCCCAAATGTCAAACATGCCATAGCTAGATCTAGACACAAAAGATGGAGAATTAGACGGAATAGCCTAAAAAACCTTAAACATGCACAAGCATGTATAAGGTCTCTAATAATAACTGTGGACATGACCGAAAAGTGAAACCAATATTTTCACATATCCAAGCACATGTACTCAAGTCTAAAATGAGCTCATGACGATTACAAACTCTCAGGAATTAGTTAATCATTCATCTAACTGGTATATGCATTTTTTCCTCAAATAGAATATCTAGTTCCTCCAGCAGAAAGCATGTTTCTACAACTCCATGTACTTCATATATCATAGACCTGAAAAGGCACTTATTTAGATACTATGAAGCAATCTCTAATGTTCAGAGAATAGATCAACTGGAACTGTTATTTCAAATTTCATGTAAGTTGGACCACACATCCTCGAGTACGAAAACTTTTTCACAGAACCTCCTATTAAAAAAATGAAACAGAACTCTTTTATCATACGTCCAATGAAACTTGTTTATGTATTACATAGGAATCTCTAATGTTCAGACAATAGATCAATCAGAACTGTTATTTCAATTTTCATGGAAGGTGGACCAGATATCCATGAATAAGTAAAATTTTTGGCAATAACCTCCTCTTAAATGATGCAGAATTTCTTTTATAACCTCCAAGTCATTATAACATTAATGTATGTTTCTTTAATTACTAACCCAACAATTATCATGCACATTTGCATAGACAATACTAGAAATAGGGAGACATCTGGAGACAACAGGAAATATTACAGGCCACATGGATAAAGTAAAAAAGATTTATTCAAAGAGATCTCTTTACTACTTCTAGAGGTATTTGATCTATCTAGGAGCAGACAGTCGCTTGATTACAGAGAGAAGACTACCTGAGGATTCTGCAGGTTGAAAACTATCAGGTTTCGATCAGCAGTGCCAACCACCATAAGAGGATGCTTAACAGTGAGTGCATAGCAACGCTCGGGAAGCTGCTGTACCCAAGTAGGATTCTGCTGTCTTAGATCCCAATACCTGAAAGTAAATAGAAATTACACTGAAACTAAGCATCACCTTTTGCGAGAAGAGATACTTGCACAATTAGAAGCAACTAAGCATTATTGCAGATGTACCAAGGATGGGAGGAGAAAATGTTACACAGCCAAAGTTCTTTATAGCTTGTACTTATATTTCCAAGCAGAAAAGAACAAAAATAAGTTCAAGTATATCTGGCTACAGATTCTGGAAGCCCCAAAGTGTTGTTGTATAGACCAGGCAGAAAACAGTAATTAGTGAAAGAAAGCATCAAGGTTGTCACGACGCCCTTTTGCGAAGCGGCGCCTGTGAACTACCATAGCGACATGGGGCCCATCATAGCGATAAAATGACGAACACAGCGCACATGTATAAAAACTTATATATATTATATCTTATAAAAAATTAATGCCTATAATTATTAATTTTAAAATACAAAATAACTAACAAATAAAAATAAATAATAATGTAATATGTCAAGAAAATAATAATAAATAATAATGTATTATTAATTAGTAATATGTCAAGAAAATACAAAATAACTAACAAATAAAAATAAATAATTAATTTAAAATTTTAAAATAAATGCACATACAATAAATAATAAATAATAATATAATACACTAAATACTAATACTGATAGTATAAATAAATAAATAAAAAATAGCCCTATCAAAGCAATGAAGTAGATAACAAATTAAAAAATATAAGAAATAGTGGACAAAAACTCCACAATGGGATAATGCGGCTGTACAAAGGGGCTGAGCAAGGTGCAGACATTGGCGCCTAGAACAGTAAAAAAGGATGACAAGTTAAGGGTTCGATCGGTTTCAAGGTTTAGAGGTTGATGTTGATGCAGTTTTGGGGCTTGGGCTGGGCTTTACAAGGCTCTGGGCTAGCTGGCCCAGTGCCATGACATCACCCTGGCATCGTTGAGGCGTCGCCACGGCGTTGCTAAAGCATCCCCAACAGCCTTCTTTAATAAGGCGAGGCAAAGAGTTGCGGCGTCCCCCAAAAGGCGACAGAAAGCCATGGTGAAGCCATGACAACAATGGAATCATAAGATCACAAAACATATAAAGTATCAAGCTAAGCACCAACCAACAAAAGGCAAGGCAATTACAAGCACATCAAGAGGAGCACACAATAAAACAACCCAATAATAGAAAAAAAACTATAAAAAAATCATCACCTGTAGGTTACTATTACGTAACAAATTAATGATATATACCGATAACCACTCATCCCACAACAAATTAATTAGCAAAAAAGGAGAAAAGGTATATTTTTCTTTTCATACAAAATAATAGGTTTAATGCAAAGATTATATGTCGTATGGGAATCAAATTGCTCTGCAAGATATTTCTTAGACAGTAAGATTACACAACTGATGGAGCATGCAGCTCCTATATAGAAGCAATCATAAAGCTTAATCACAGTTCAGGAAGAACAAATACTGCCCTTGAATGAACAAAAAAGAAGAAGAAGAACATCCAATCAATAATCAACAAACCCTATTTTCACATACAAGGAATGAGCAGCATCAACAAATTACCTAAGAGTCTTGTCCCAGCTTCCTGTTACTAGGAGATTCATTTCAGGGATCCAAGCAAGCTCTTTAACAGGAGCATCATGCATAGCTACAGTTACAGGTTGGCCACCTGATGATAATGGCCACATTTTCACTTGTTTGTCACAACCCCCAGAAAAGACAGTTGTCCCATCATCCTTCCAAGCAGAGCACAAGACCTAGCAAAACAGGAACTGCGTTAATAGCAAAACAGGGACAGTTCATGTATTCGAATGACATACTTGGAATCCATGTAACACCAGCTTACCGGTTGCTCATGTGTTATGGATGCCTTTGGAACAGTACTGATATTAGTTCCTGATTTCATCACCTCCCAACATCGCACCTAAAATATGGCCAAAAGATTGACGTAGTTAGCTTGGTTAACTGATAAAGCACAAAGAAACATGAGTTTTCAATAATTCAAGAAGAAAAACAGAGTCAGAAATCCTTAAATTTGATCTCACTAAGGAAACAGAGTAGTGTTCCAAAGTAAGAAACACCGAAAGCAGCACTGCTTTGCCCACAAGAAACTCGCAACATTTTTATAAAAATACACCAAAAAAATGGAAGCAACGAAAGCAGCACTTCTTTGTTTAACGAAATCAACCAATTAAAAGAACCATACCTGATTATCCCAAGAAGTAGCAACCAGGAAATTTGCCTTGGGACTAAAACAGAGGCTGGAGACTGAATCACTGGGAGGTTGTACCACCTTTGGAAACCCAAAACAGAACAAAAAAACAGATCAGCCTAAGCACCGCTAATTGAAGTCCAGGACACCAAAGCAACCAGAACAAAACAATCGTCGAATTCCAAAAAAGACAGCAAAAATCACTACAATTACCTCAGCGGAACGGTTAGGATTCGCGTTAGTCGGCGCAGCACCGAATGTAGCCATAGAGAATCTTTAAACCCTAGTTATTGGCAAATTACACAAAGACAATCCTCCAATTAAGCAGAATAAACACTCCAACGGCGCATCTGGCCAACTTCTCAGAACAAATCGAAAGAATCGCCACGACTCTGCAAGCTTTTAGCGGCCAGAGAGAAGCCACAACAAAGCGGCAACAGGAACCCGCACTTGTTTTTTTAAACTTTCTCGAACATCTTTGCTTTCCGATTGATTGTTCTATTTTCATTCCATCAAAATCAAGATTGCATATTGGGTCCAAATTGGGCCCCGAATTTGGGCCTAAGCCCAGTTCATAATCTGAACAGACACTCTTAATGGGCCGATTTTTATTTTTTTTGTTTTTTTAATTATTATTATTTATTGAGTAACGTATCAAATGGAAAATAGAGAATGAAGCCGAAACCCTACCCACATCTATATCACTTAGTCCAAGAGTGTAAGGTTTTGTTTGGTACAGATAAATAAGGGTAGAGAAATGAAAATTGTATAATTTTTCATATTTGTTTGAGTTAAAGAAATGAAATTTGAGAAATAAATCATTTTTATTTCTTTGTTTTCATTTCTCTCCCATATAAAAATGGTGTTGTAATATATGTTATTTTTTTATTTTAAAATTTTTTTTGTACTATTTAATTTTATAATTTTTTTAAAATTATATTATTTTAATTTTACAAAAAATAAACTTAATTTAATTTTTAAAGTATTTAATTTTTACGATATTTTAAGAAAATATACTCAAATATAATCTTAAAAAACATCGTATATAATTTATAATTTTTTTAAAAAAAAAATTATCAAAAATATTTTTCATTAATTCTCATTTGTTAAAACTCTCTTTTTATCGGGTTAATCATTTATTTTTGTTTGATAATTCATATATCTGCATTTTTTTTTATTTCTCAAATGAATTATCTGTTTTATCAAACAAGAGAATTAATTTCTACTCTCATTTCTCTGCAATTCTATTATCTGTACCAAATGCCCCCCTAAGAGCATCACAAAGTTATAATATTATTATTTTTACATATTACCTTTACAATTTTATAAAATTCTTTATAACTATTTATTTTTATATATTTTTACTATCTAATAATATATAAATAATATTTATTTTGTAATATTATTTTATTTTTTAATATTAATTTGTATAAACTATAATAATATTATATAAATTTTTATATTAAGAAATATTAAATTTATTAAAATTTGTAAAATTAATGGCATTTAAAAATTTGAATGATGGAAATAAACTCGGATTAATATATTATCCGAATAATTTTTTGTTTTCGATAGTTTTGTTAAAGAATTAGATGAAGAAAAATTGAATATAAAAAAATTTAAAATTTTAAATATTAAAATTGGATATATAAAAAAAATTATTGAAAAATAAGTAGGTGAGTCAATGATTTTTTGAAATAAATTTGTATTTGTGTTTGTATTTGTACAGATAAATATTGATAATTTTAAATTTTAAGTTATAAATTAAATAATTATTTATTTATTATTTTTAGAGAAGTAATAAGTTCTTAATAAAAGTAATAAATTTGTACTAACTGTATTTCCTAACAGTGGTAACACGTCTTGTTATAATAAAAACTAAAAGAATAACGAAAAATATAATAAAAAAAAGCAACTGTCTTGTTATAATAAAAACTAAAAAATTAACAAAAAATGTAATGAAAAAAAAGTAACTATAACAAATGGTCTAATGTACCAAACTGATAGTTAGAAATCGCATGCGTTTTATATTTATATCATATGCGATAATTGAGTGATTTTGATTGGATTCTACCTAATTTATATGCGAATTGTCAAATATTAAATTTGGCATAATTGGCAGAAAAAAAAAATAAAATTAATTAAAGGCCCAAAAGCCCATTTACAAAATAATTAGGGCAAACATTAAATAAAAGGAGAGATCACACGTTTCAAAAAGAGGGGAGAACGGCTAGGGCAGATACGCACAGGAGCAAGAGCAGTAGACTGACAGATCATAGATCGCGCAGGTTTTCCCTCCCACTGTGACTTCATCTTTCTCTTTTGTTCTTTGTTATTTAATTATGAAGTAGATACTTTTCTGGTTTGAGGGGTGATAATGTTTTGGTTGTTTTGTTTTGGAGATTCTTGATTTTCTTTATAAAAATTCTTTTTTATTATCAATATTTGTCTAATTCTGAGAATAGCGTTTATGATTGTTAGATTGATTGAATATTTTGGTACCGATATTTAAATTAGTTTGATAATCTAAAGTCAATTCAAGTAGGATATCTGTAATTGTATTCGCATTTGAATAGGTGACAACCGGGTTGAATAATTCCAGGGGTTAGACAATCAAATCTAACTGCTCCTCTTAGGTAGTAATTGTTTTGAATTGAGTTTATCTAAATTGGAATGCGGTTAGGCAATATTCTTATGGGCACACCTGTGTTTATTTGCTTAATTAGGAGTAGTTAACGGTCGTACTTTAATTATTAAGGAAAAATTGGTTGTCAGAGCTTGTTGATAACTATAACCAATTTATTGATACTTTAATAAAAATTAATTTAATTGAATTAATGATAGAACACAAGTGCATCATCCCTTGAGCCAGACATTCCCTTATAGTCGGCTCCCTTTAATTTAACTGCTTTGTTATTTTATTTTAATTAGATAATAAAAGAAAAATCTCCCTTTATTTTCTGCATTAGAATACGAAAGAGTGAATCACACAATCCCCGTGGAGACGATCCATTCCCCTATGTTATATTAAATTGTGACCGGACTGACAGGTCACAAACCCGCGTGATGTATCCATCCGACCCGCCAAGTCCATATGACCTGTCAAATTTGCTTGACTTGGCCCGACTTACATAAATTAAATACTTATTGATTTAAAAAATAATAAATTAAAAATATATATAGAAAAAATAAAAATCTTTATTTATACCACTTTCACGTCTCCTGTTGTCACCGCCAATACTAATAATAATAATAAAATTTATTATTCAATTAATCAGATCCGAAGCCGAATTGGGTAGGATATGGTATTAAACCATGAACCCGACTTGGACTCTCAATAATTTATTATAAACACCACTCATATCCGATCCAATACCCAATATTTGAAAGCAACCCCAAACAAATGAGTAGAATTCGGATCGGATCCGTAACGAAGTAATAGGAAATCAATCATCAATGCAAAGTCTCATCCCTCACATATTGTAAAGATAGATACATACATATATGTACCGCTGTCTCAAGTCAACATACCTAAAAGGGATACATAAAAATACATAGAGAGAGTGAGACTACAATACATAGCCATAAACTCAATCACTCGGTTCTCATCATCTCAACCAAAATGGGAATGGAATGGGAATGGGACAACTAAATGCTCTCAAAATAGAGCAAATGATGCAGCAGCTACAATGGTGGAGACCAGGAAGTTGATGTAAGTAATGGTTAGGGCAGACGAGGCCGAGCTGCCGGGAGATGGAGCCGGAACGGGAGGAACTTCCGTATCGCCGGATCCAGAAGCGGGAGCCTCAGCAATCGACGACGGGCTCGGGGACAATGGCACTGGAGAAAGAGCTGTAGAAAGAGCACATTAGTTAAACCATGCCATAATATGTAAAGAAATGTGTTTTCTAATTGTTGGATGAAATGGCTCTTCATAGGATTGATGATTTTGGAGCAAAACTTTGAATAAGAATTGAGGGTGCAAGTCAACAAAATCAAATCAAATCAAATTATTCTAGAATGTGTAATGTTTGAATATTTAATTTCATTGACTCCATGAGAAATTCTCACATAGCAAACATCAGACAGATTTATTTTCGTCCAGTTGGCTCAGACAGGTCAGATGAGAGCCAGAGGAGCTGAATGTTGTTTGTTTTTCAAATTTTGAAATATTATATTCAAAGAATTACTTTTCATTGCAATCCTATCTTTACAATGGAGAACACCTAAACACAATACAATACAATACATCCTACTAATCACAAACAAACACGCCCATGATTCCCGGCTCGGTTTCCCATATCAAGAATCGAAACAATAAATGACAAATCTACAGAATCACGTGACAGCATCTAGAAGGTATGAGAGGCAAGAAGTCTCCAGAGCAAGAAATACTGAACAACAAAGTAAAAAACACGTCTTGCCCTTAAATTACTCTCAAGAACAGAACTGATCCTCCCCACAAAACAAGTCATACCATGTGCAAGCAGCAGCAAAGGGGGGGAGAAGAAACTTAAAAAGGAAATAAACACGTTTGGTAATTAATAAGGATAAAATGCTGTTCAAGCAAGATTCAAACCAAATTAACTTTATGGTTGGATGAACATGAACATCAATTTCCAAGATATTAATGGCGATTTACACACCCTAAGCAAAATACGAGCCAGAACTACAGAGGATTTAACAGAGCATGTGAATTAATTAGGTTGAACTGTAAAGAATTTAATGTACCTGGGGCAGCACCCGGCGCAACGCTTACTGTAGAATGAAGAAACAAAAGCAAAAAAAACAGAGATGGAAAAATTAGTATACTAAAGTAGTTTTTTCACCATAAGTAATACAGAAAGTTAATAGCTAAAAAAGTTGAGTAAAAGCAATGCCAAAAAAAACAAGTAGATGAAGAAAATTAAACCCTAGACCTACAAAAAAGGGTAAAAGCGGATTTCCTGGCAGGATTTGGAGATCCTATAGTTGAATTTCATTCATTCACTTTTACCGAGAGTAAAGCTAAACATATGTTAATTTTTGAACTGGTTAAATCCAAAATCATACACAAAAAGCATCGCCGATTGAATTAAAAAAAAGAAACCGACTAAAGCGGAAAATATACCAGCACAGTTGCGAAGAGAAGAAGGCGCTGATTTGTGGCAGGCAACCGGCAGATTCATCGCCTTGCTCACATTCAGCGTTATTCCTAACTGAGCACTGTTCTTAAACACCTCGCAGAGGCACTCGGCGTTGGTTTTGAGCACCGATTCGAGGCCATTACAGCAGTCACGCCCCGGCTCCTTCGCGTTCCCACCGACTGTAACGTACGACAAGCAATCCGCCATGTTCATCACCAGCGTTGTGCAATCCACCGCCGGCGCCGGCGCGGAATGCGCGGCCGACACCGCCGCAGCTGAAAGAGCAAATAAAACACACAGAAGCGAGAATCTGAACCCCATCGTAGCTATCTACGCTCCGTCTGGGTAGTAGTAGTAAGATAACAGAGAAAAAACTACACAGGAAACGGAGAATGCAGTTGCAATTTATGCAGGGAAGAAAGAGGACTTCCTTCAACGTATATATACATGGGAACAAGAAGAGCTGAGGGAGGACACGTGGAGCGAATCCGTGAAAACAATCGCTGACCGTCCGTTGATTGGACGGTTCTGATTATAGGGCTCCACTTTCGAAATTTAAGGACGCTGTAAGAGTCGCGGGATAAAATCGTGTTCAACCACCACGTTTTTACCATGATTGACTCCTTTGACTTTGACCTATGACTAAATAGTTCAAAAACACTTCCCACTAAAACCATGAAAATGCAATCAATAATTACTTCATAGAATAATCATCTGATGTGATTATCAACAAGACAGATCAAGAATTATTAAGCATGAATGAGATCCATTCTCTGTTTTTTCTCCAAGATAAAAATTCCTCCCATTCTTTATTCTTTTCTTACAAGCCTCGCAGCCTCACAGTGCACTTACAGATGTCTGAAAACTACAAAGACAAAAAAAAAGTGCCAAGAAAACTTTCCCCAAAGAAACCCTCTTTTCAAGAGGCAATGGTGATGTGGGCAAGAATTCCCTAAAACTTAAAAAAAATGATCAATTATGGGCACCAAAATGGAAGGGTATGAGATTCCAAGTGTCAATGTGGTTACTCATGGAAGTAGTGCTGTAAGAAATGAATCACAAAAAGTAGTCATTTTGTGCAATGTGGTTGGTGATGGACAAGGGCATGGGCCCTCCACTTGTGCTTATGGCCACAAAAGATGAACCAGCTTCTGTTCTCTTGTATAACTGCTTTTGTATGTTAATTCTATTCTCCAATCCTCCATCCCCATTATTACATACATTGAAGTTTGAACCGTGTAGGAAAGGTGTTTTTCTTGTGGGCTTCAAGAAACATGAAGCCCAACAAGAATAGACATATTTGCAAGGGCCCAAAATAGGCAAGAATCTTTCTTGGTGTCCAAGATGTGGATGGAGTTGTGATTTCATTGGTCAGAAATCTATCCACAGATTTCACTTATCCTACCTGTCATCCCCACAGACCACTTCTCTCCTCATCAGATTCACAATCACAGATAGCCAAGCCAAGCCCTCTTCCTTTTAAGTGGGAATACAATACTGGCCAAGATCTCTTACAGTTAGTTTGGCAGAAAACAAAAAATGGCTTCCACACATGCAGCACTCCTTAATGGCCTCGGATCAGCCTTCCTGACTGGCGGCACAAAGAGCCGGGCTAGGCTTGCCACCCCTGTCGCCGCCAGGGTTGGTGGCGGCGCCGCCACCAAGAGGCTCATTGCCGTCGCAGCTGCTGCATCTAAGAAATCCTGGATCCCTGGTGTCAGAGGTGGCGGCAACCTCATCGACCCTGAGTGGCTCGATGGATCGTAAGTTTATCTCATTCATATTAACAACATATCAATATATATATATAAGGAAAATATGCATTTTTCGTAGCTAGTAGTAAATTGATCTCCTTTTAAATATATTTATGCAAAATTCATCGATATAGAAGCGTATTTGGCATCAAACGATGAATTTAGCATGAATTTGTTTGAAATTAGACTAATTTTGCACGGAATATTTAGGATGAAAGACTAAATTTTGCATAGTGACACTAAAACTGCATTTTTTTTTTACCTAAATAAATAAATAAACCATGTATGCTTCTATTAGTGGCTAAAATTGCAACCAAATGATAAATTTTTTGCATGAATTCTTTTGAAGTTAGACTAATTTTGCATAGTGAGACTGAAGACTGCATTTTTCCCTAAATAAATGAATAAATTAAGCTTACTTGGTTGAGCTGATGATGCCTTGTGCAATGGTGATGATCTGCAGGCTGCCGGGGGACTACGGGTTCGATCCGCTAGGGCTGGGGAAGGATCCGTCATTCCTGAAATGGTACAGAGAGGCAGAGCTGATCCACGGGAGGTGGGCAATGTTAGCTGTGGTCGGCATCTTTGTCGGGCAAGCATGGAGCGGCATCCCCTGGTTTGAAGCCGGAGCAGACCCTGGCGCGGTGGCGCCGTTCTCTTTCGGCACTCTGCTCGGGACGCAGCTTCTGCTGATGGGGTGGGTGGAGAGCAAGAGGTGGGTGGACTTCTTCAGCCCGGATTCGCAGTCAGTGGAGTGGGCCACTCCATGGTCGAAAACTGCAGAGAATTTTTCGAATGCAACGGGTGAGCAGGGATATCCTGGGGGGAAATTCTTCGATCCCCTGGCTTTGGCGGGGACACTTAAGGATGGAGTTTATGTACCTGATGCGGAGAAGCTTGAGCGGCTGAAGCTGGCGGAGATTAAGCATGCCAGGATTGCTATGTTGGCTATGCTTATCTTCTACTTTGAGGCAGGGCAAGGGAAGACACCCCTTGGAGCCCTTGGCTTGTAATTTTCTTTGTATTGTTACTGTGTAAAGGAACTTTGTGGTTTAGAGAGAATCGGGACCTGCATTGATTCTTGATTTGGCATTCGATTTGTCTGATGTTGTGAAGACGACTGTGGCGAGATTTTCCATCTGGTGCAAATAAAGCATCCATGAGATAGGATTAAGGAATGCCGAGTAAAATCTAACATAAATTTCCAAACCTGAAACATCGCCTGAGCTACCCCTGAAGCATTTAGTTAGGGTCGACAGTTTCGGAGCTAACAAAGCATACAGAAATGTAGATGAACTACGCATGTTCAATTGTTCATGAAACATCTAACAATAAAAAAACTGGAAATGATCTTTGGTAATTGCTAAGCATTTAGCAGCATCAACAGTTTTGCAAGTAGCAAAGCATACACACATAAATTTAGATGAACTACACATGTTCATGAGCATCTCTAACAATAACAAACTGGAAATTATATTTGGCAATCCTTAAGCATTTGGCAGTGTCAACAGTTCTGCAACTAAGAAAGCATACACAAATGAAGATGAACTAAACATGTTCATGGACATCCAACAATAACAAACTGGAAATTATCTTTGGTAATCCCTAAACACTTAGCAGCATCAACAGTTTTGCAACTAGAAAAGCATACATACACAAATGTAGATGAAATAACATGTCAATGGACATCAGACAATAACAAACTGAAAGTTATCTTTGCAACTAGAAAAGCATACATACACAGATATAGATAGCTGCACATTTTCATGGATATCTAAAAATAACAAACAAGCATAGCATTGAGTAAAGGAGAGAACAGGATCTAAGTTGATGTAAATTATAGCACTAGCTACTGCACATCTTCGTGGATGAATTCAGTTAAGTTCTGTTCTAAGCTGAGTTTTTCTGCTTACAGAAAATTATAGTCCCCTCAATGAATCACTAATAAATTGAAAGAAACTTGGTAATTAATATACTGAATTCAGCGTCATTTTGGAAAGAAATTGTCTCTGCTACCTTAACTAATTGCCGTAATTCACACTTTCCATCAAGAGCTGGTGGCTTTGATAACTTACAGAGAATTGATAGAAATGACTAACTGGCTGACTAATCATCGGCCATGCCATGAAAGCCCTCGAACGAAGTTTTGATCACTTCACTACTTCCTCTTCCGCTGAAAAAGAACAAACAAAGTTTCCATGGAACAATTTTATACACAGTAACACAAAGAAAAAATTATCAATAGGAAGTTACACGGAAAATTCTACTATGCCTTTCGGATCAAGATCACAAACTCCGGTTAATCGGAGTTTCTGAAGAAAATCAATCGCCGAGGGCACGGAGTCCACAGTAAAACGAAAAAAATTATTCAATTGAGAAGAAAAAACGCTTAAAATTACTACAATTTTGATTTTTTTTTTTATTAATAACATAAAAATAAGTGTTTTATGTGATAAGTAATATTGTAACATAATAAATAGATTGATTGTTTTTTTCTTTTAGAAAAAAAATATGTATGTAAATAGTTTTAATATTTTCTTACACAATATAATATTAATTATCTAATCTTTTAAATTTTTTCCAAATCTGCAAAAAAAAATGAAAAACTCTTGGCTTTAGAATAATTTAAAATGTTTTGTTTATATTTTATGCATATTAATTTTTATATAGTGAGCAGCTGTAAAAATAAAGATGGATGAGCTGCTGCCAACTTCTACTTTGAATATCGTATTGCAAAATTTTGAATTTTATTTTTTTATTTTTGTGACTTGCGAAATCTAGGGGTGAGCATTCGGATTTGGCAAAATCCGAACCGATCCGAAAATTTGAAATTTTTGAAAAAATCAATCCGAACCGAATCGAAATAATCGAAATCCGAAATCCGAAAATTCGTAATCCGAACTAAAAAATTCGAACCAAACTGAAAAATTTGAAATTCTAAATATTATTATTATTATTTTTTTAATTTTTAAATTTCTTTTATATTTTTTTATTATTTTATAATATTAAATATATATATATAATATATAAAAATTAAATATATAAAAATATAATTAATAAATTTGAGTTTTTTATATTAAAATATAATATTTTTTAATAAAATATTAAATATATATAATAAAAAAATATATTAAAATATTATATTTCGGATTTCGGATTGGTTCGGATTTTAAGTATACCGATCGGATCCAATCCGAAAATCCAAAACTTGTTAAAAATTCAATCCAATCCCATCCGAGAATCTGAAAAATCCGAACCAAATTTTAAAGTTCCGTCTGGTTCGGATTGGATTTTCAGATTTTAGATATTTTGCTCACCCCTAGCGAAATCTCACCATTTGTTTTTAAAGAATAATAATCAGTGTCTTTACAAAGCGTTCTTAAATGAATTAATTTATTACGTGTAGTATGAAGAACTACGTTCATAATATAAAAAATAATATTTTTTTTATAAATAATTAATTTTTTATTAGTGAATAATATATATTATATTAATATGTGTATATTTATTTTTTTAATAATATTTATGGAGAATTAATGTGGAATTCTAACGAGTTTGTTTCTTTTAACTTGATCGTATTTGTAAAACGAGTTTCACATAGTAGCGACTATAGACAAAACAAACATTTTCTAAATCCGTAATTTATTAATCATTGCTAAAAGAAGGAATCGCCATATTACTACAACATACGTCAAACATATTATTAATTAACAAAACAACACTATTCTCACACACATATACGCCACAAAATCTACATAATTAATTATACATATGGAATGGTATCAAATATCAATTGACGGCGGAGCAGACCCTGCGAATTTCCCCATTTGCCCCTGTCTTGACCTCAATATTGCTCATCTTGACCATGGACCTCCCGAACTCGACCCCGAAGGTGAGCCCGAGCAGGCCACGCAGGCCCAAGTACCGCTGGACCACGGTCCGAGTCGCCGAGTCACCCCAGAGCCGCTGGTCCGACTCGAGCACGGCCCGACCGTCCCTCACGTTTGCGAAAAACGAGTTATCGAACCGGTTCTCGCTCCTGTCGTCCAGCGCCACCCGCCGCGAACCGTCGCCGTCCGACGGACACGCCGCCTGCATCGCCGCCACGAACGCCGCGCTCATCGACGGATCGGCGGCGCCGCTCGAGTTGAAGTTGTACAGCCGGTACCGGAAAAACTGGCACGCCGTCGTGCCGATCGTGTGCCCGCCTGAATTAAGTAATTAATTAATTAGTTAGTTTTATAATTAATTAATTTTATTGTTTTAATTAATTAATTAATTAATTATTTACCGACGAGGGTGACGAGGTCCTGGGTGTTGAGGCCCTTGTCTAGAAACTTCTGCTTCTGGACATCGACGGAGTCTGTGAAGCCCGGCAGGTTGGAAGTATCGCTGGCCAATGAGACCCGCCCGTCCCGCCGTCCCGTCGGCACAGCCCAGCTTGCTCCGCCAGTCTGCATGCATGCATGCATAAAACTAATTATTATTATTGTACCGGATCTCCGATCTTTAATTTATTTCTTTTTAATAAATAAATACGGTAAAATATGTCGCGATATAAAACATAAAAATACTTCTTTTATTGGAAAATTGATATATATATATTTTTCATTTTTAAGGTTTTCTTTTCAATTTTGAATGGAGTATTATAAGCTCAGTTTACCTTAGTTGTCACAATTATTAATCAATAATAATTTTTTTAAAATAAAATATCTTATCAATTTTTTAGATTATTTATTTAAAAAATAATAATTATACTATTCAATTCATATTGTTCTTGTAAAAATATTTCATCTTTTTACTTATAAAATATTACATTATAATAATATTATAAACTAAAATTTATTTTGTTTTAGTTTTAAAATCAAAATCTTATTATTCATCCCAAACAGTTCCCCCGATGTATAAATTATATTTACTGAAATAAAAAATTCAATTTCAAACCTAAAATACTCACAGAAACTCAATTTTAAATTAAAACCAAATAAATATTTATTTTCTCTCTTAACAACATCAAATTAATCTTGTTAGATTAAAAAACAATTTTCTTTCAAAAACATCATATCTGATATATATAGTATTTTCTATACAAATATCATATCCAATAATTATTTCACTAAAATCAAAAATCAAAATTAAAAAAAAAAAACAAACAAACAAACAAACACCAATATACACTCACCCTTTTAATTTTTTCAATTTAAATATTTAGATATTTGTGCGTTATAATAATTATTATTATTATTATTATTATAATAGTATAATGAAGTAGGACATACGAGGACGACGGAGTCGCGGGCGGCGAGGGCGAGGATGTCGGCGCAGGAGACGACGCCGGGGCAGGCGGCTTCGAGCTGCTGCTTGGCGTCGTCGATGACTTCGTAGCCTCTAAGGAGAAGGTTAGGTCCGGCGGTCTTCTCGGTCCCGGCCCCGTCGATGAGAATGGAGGCGTCGCAGCCGTTGACGAAGCAGTCGTGGAAGAGCATTCTAAGAAGTCCCGGAGCAATGTTCCTGTTACCATTGAAATGGGATCTCACCGTCGCCTGGACTATGGACTCCGCCCGAGGGCAGGTCCGGGAGTAGAACCCCACCCTCGTACCTTGTCCCGAAGCCCTCACCACCAAGAAAACAAACATTGATATAAATGTAATAATATGATGAACATTAGGGTTTACTATTTTCTCCATTTTTGATATGATATGACAGTAATTTTTCTTTTTCTTTTTTTTTTGAAAAGAATGATATGATAGTAATGATTAAGTGGATGCTGGAGGAAGGGATGTATTTATAGGTAAGGAACTTGATTGAATTGAATTGAATTTATTTATTTTAATTAATAAGTAAAATATTAGTAGGAGAGGTCAACGGCGAAGAAGTAAGCAAAGTCGGCCATGGAAGTAAAATTCAAACATGCATGCATGCACATCACATGCATGAGTTGGGGTGCATTCTAATTATACATATATATATATTATATAATTAAAAAGTTTTGCAATGGTGGGTTTGAGCCCAATTTTGGTTGTATGTAAAAACATAAAATAATACTCCATATCTGGATTTTGTGTGTGTTTTTACAGCCAGGCGAGAGGTTGTCTTTTTGTAGGGATTTTGGATAAACATAGACAATGGTGGAAAGAATTAGACATACACATACACATACACATACACCCAACACCCAAGCTGTGGTTGGTTGTGGGTGGGGCTGTGTTATTATTATTAATTATTTTAGTAAAAAAAAAAATATTTTTATTACGTGTTAGAGGGAAAATGTAAAAGGGGTACTAATAAAAGATAGACATTTATAAATAGTATTGTGTATGAGTTAAAATATACTCCATTTAATGATGGCATAATAGGAAAACAAGATAAATAGTTAAATACACCTTTATTTACCATGAATGTATATAGCATAATCATCCATTGAATTTATGTTTAAAAATTAATTCTATATTTTGAAAATGATTTTTACAAGTAAACTGATTTAAAAATATACTAGCTGGCCACTCTCAATTTTTTCATTGATATGTTTATAATTAATTTATTCGTTTCTGTTTTTTTCTTAGTAATTATAATATTAAATAAAAAATACTTATGGGTATGTTCTTTTTGTAAAAAAAATAAATTCACACATTTCTAAAAATTTAAATATTACACATATTTATTATTTTTATATTTTTTATACAATTCCGTGTACTTCACATAAAAAAATATCCCTCCAAACTATTTCACAAAACAAACACACCCTCTATATTTTACATAATATTATAAAGAATTTATTAAAAAGTAAATATTTCTAAGGATAAAAAAAGGTATATATATATATTTTTTAATATACTACTTACCTAAAAAATAGTGTAATATTATGAAATTTATATGCAAAAAAAACAAACAGATAGAAGATTAAGACTTAAAACACATTAAGAGAATATAAACGTTGTATGGTTGGGAGAGTTTTGGAAATTTTTTACTATTCATCAAGTTTTTTTCATAAATTTTATTGAATGAAATCTCTGTTTTTAATTTTTATTAGTATATTAAAATTAATATTATATTCAAAATATAATATTAACATTAACATCAACATATATATATTAATTTTAATATTCGAAATCCATACCAAAAACCTTAATCTCAAAACAAAAACACCCTACTTAACTTATATGAATTTATAAGGTCAAAGGATATTCTATAATAGAAATGTATTTTAAATATTTTTTTATATAAACACACACTACAAGAAAAAATTATTTTTGTAACAAATTTTTTTTTTGTGTTTGAATTTATTTTTTCCGTTACTAATGACATTAGAGACGGAATTAGGAATGAAATTGCGTTAGCTACGTGAACTTTAGGGACAAAATTCCGTTACAAATATATTATTTTTTTGCAGTGACGATTTCTTTTAAGTGCATGGAACTATATCTAAAATAGTCCATTATCAACAAACAGCTAGCCTTTATACAATTCTAACTTAATTTATCCAATAAAAAAAAATATATATATTTAGTTATGGAATGGTGATTAGGTGAGATGTAACAGTTGGAATTACTTTGACTTTAATTAATTAGAGGATTTATTATGAAAATATTTATTTGATTTATATCAATATCAATATTAAAACTATATTTTAATTCAAAATTTCAAATACAACCAATCAATCTTAACCCTCAAACAAAATAAAATAAAAGTCAAAGTAAATAGAGGCATTAATTAATAATAGAGCAATATTGTCAAAAAAGTGCATGGCACTTTACATAGCCATTAATTATCATAATTACTAAATGATATGTAGTTTGTGTGTTAGGTAGATATGCATAATGCATGAATCACTAATTAGCAGACATATATGATTTCATTAATAAATTTGGGATAATTTATTATTATTATTATTATTATTATTATTATTATTATTATTATAACGTAGAAACACACCGTCGCTACTTGCCGAGTTCGTTTTGGGTAATCCTCTAACCAAATCTAATATCTTTCAAATTAGGTCCGACAATATTTTTATTTTATCATTTTAGAATCTTAGATGAAGTATATAAACAATAATTTTATATATAATTTGTAATCATTGAAAAATATCCTATAGTACTAAAATATTATTGATGAAGCTGATAACTACTTACGAATTTAATTTTTTAAATAACTATGCAAAATATGTTTATAATAAATATTTTAAATTATATTTCACATCGCCATTTAAGATTGAAAATTATCACCTAGTTAGTTCATATCAACATGAACAATATTATATTAGCACAAATGGCAAAATTCCGGTCTTTCCTGTCGGACCTAGTTTGCAGGGTATTAGCTTCGGTCGGGGGTTTACCCAATGCGCACTTTCGGGTCCCACGTCATAAAAAATATGGCAAAATTCCGGTTATAAAATTATTTTATACAGACTTAATTTTTAGAAAATAGTAAATAGAGTAGGCATAACATCTGAGACTAAAATAAGTTTGCTTTGTATTTTTTGGTGAATATATATTCTTTTATGTTAGATATAAAAAATTGTATTAGTAATATAAAAAAAAAATATTTTATGTTAGAATTGTAAATTTTTTATGAATAAATAGAGTATACTTGTTATATATATTATATTTTTAAATAATATTTATGAGAATAATGTCATACAAGTGAACCCACCCAACATTTACCCAAAATTTTTCTAACATATTTTTTCAAAAAAAAATTAATATATCATATAATTATTATTTTTATATTATCTACGCAATTTTTATATTTCAAATAAAAAATATTTTTTCAAGCCAAAACACAAAATAATAATATAATCTATTTTATTTTATTTTATTAAATGGATGCCCCAACTTCATCAATCGTGTACACGTTTAACAATTTTTATTTTATTTTTGAACTTTTTTTTTATAACGTTTTAGTTCCCTTGTATGTAACCTCTATTATTTTTTTCACGCAATTTTAATATTATTGCATTTTAATTATATAAGTAAGAAACATAAACCATAAAAAAAATACTCCTAATGTCCCACCGAAATTGAATCATTTGATTAAAGTAATGATATTTAATTAGTTAATAATAATTAGTTATGATATTATTTTTTATATAATTAATAATATTTATAGTTTGAAAATAAATTTAATATATATGATTAAAAAAATCAAAATATATGTTTAAATATTTAAAAATTATATAGCAATTAAAAAATATATGTAATATGAATATCATTTTGTAGAGAATAAAATTTTCTATAATACAAGTAAATAAAAAAATATTTTTGTTTATTTATAATTAACATAAATAAATTTTATAAAAGATGTGTAGTTTTAAATATAGATAAAAATATTTATTCGAGAGATATAGAAATAAAGAGGTTTTCTCATTTACGGTGTTATATGTTATGTAGTTAATTAAGTTGATTTATATTTGTTAAATATGCTTAAATTTAATAATTTTTACAAAAAATAGAAATGTATCAATTGTTACGGACAGACAAAAATGAAAATAGTGTCAATTGCGGTGAGACAGAGGGAGTATATAATTATATATATAACTTAAAATTATAATTACGTAGATACGAAACATAAACAATGTTCACACATATATATATATATATATATAATGAGTGATTATGGTTTGAGATTAAAGAACACGTCTGTTATTAAATAATGAGATACAAACAATTTAATTCAACTAATAAAACCAACTTACTCTAAAATAATTATATAATATTAGATATATAACGAAGTGGACACAATAATATAGTCTAAATAAATTAGATGATTAAAACTTCTAAGATGTACAATTCAACACGTTTAAATTAAATTAATTTTTTAATTTGCTAAGTTTTCAGTGGATTACCAGCTAGCACACATAAACTATATATAGACGCTGAATGATAATCATTTATTAGTATTTATTTACTTAATAAATCTAATCATTTTTATACATATAACATTGTCGAAATTTTATTTTTAAAAAATAAAATTATATCAATAAAAAAAAAACGTACAACTAAAATTTATATAATTAAATTATGAAAGCAGTCTAAAAGGCATAAATGACCATTGATCAATGTTTGTTACCTGATAGTATTTTTTTTTAAAAAAAATAATATATATATCTGTCATTATTTCATTAAAGATGTAGTTAAAATATAAAAATATCAAGTAAATAAAACCACAATTTTCCAATATACTTAATAAATATTTAATTTAATTATTTATAAAAAAAAAAAAAAATAACGAATAGTTGATATCCAAAGGCATGCATAGATAGAATAATTGGGTGAGCAGGTGAGTGAGTACAGGGAGCAGTGGTCCACTGCGCCTATGTCGCACTCGGAAAGTTTGGTAAAGGCGCGTTTCTGGAACAACGCGTCTTACTATTATTATTAAAAACCTGACTTCAGCAGGTCAATATTATTACATTTTTCGTCTATTCTCTTTTATTTTATTCATCGGGATAATGTATAATCGGCCTTGTAATTTAAGTAGGAATGAACAAAATATTTTATATTTTATTTATTAAATAAAATATTGCATAAAATATTTTATTTGTCTAAAATTTATATATATTTGTTAACACATTTAATTATATAATTTTTATATAAATATAAAAGAGATAAAAATATCTTAAATAGTCTTACATAAATAAAATAAATAACAAATAATAGGAGTATATGAGTATGTTTTTGAAATTTAAAAAAATTTGATTTGAATTTAATATTAAATAATATAGGATGAGTGTTTTGTACGAACAAAATATATATTTTTTTCAAGAAATATGGAGTTAGAATAGTAGAAATTTGGGTTTGAAATAAATTAATACAGTTTTAGAATTGTGTTGAAAATATAAAAAATAATTTTATTTTGAACATTAAAATGAATTATATATATTGTATTAAGATGTGTATATTATTATTCTGTTAATAACATTTATGGGAATATCTCACCTAAAAATACTAAGTGAATAAAAAAAAAATTAGTGTTAGAATGTTGAAAAAAAAAAAATAGAAAAAAAAAAACAAATGTGATATCTATGAAAGAAAAAAATATATTTAATATTATATTTTCGAAAAAATTAGTGTGTATAAATAGTGCTAAAATGTACAAATATATTTGTGTAAACATAATCTAATATCTCAAGAGAAAAAAAAATAATACTATTTGGTTTCTTAATAATTTATCTATTTTTTATTTTTTTCTGTCTTATAACAATCTATTTATTTTTTTTAGTAACTATATTTTCTATCACACAATCTAACATTAAAAATACTCTTATAATTTACAATATATTATACAAATATCATTACATTTATATAACACAATACTAATAAGATTATTTTAGTCTTTATTACTTTATTCATACAATATTCCAATATAATATTAATAAGATTATTTTAGCATTTACTACTTTATTCATACCATATTCAAATATAATACTAATATTTCTAAAACTTCTTATAAAACATAGAGATACAAGGGACAGATGTAATAATAATAACAATAATAACAAGAAGTTTGATAGGCGGGCTTTCTTAGTTATATGGCACCATTTTATTATTGGGCCAATATTATTAAAGGCCCAGACATAAAAGCGGCTGTCTGGTCCGCCCCAGGCCCATGAATAACATTTATCTAATCACGGACCGAAATTACCAAAAACTCCCTGGTAGTAGATGTAGCTAGTGTCCTAAACCATAAAGCTCCCACCCATGGTTTTCTTAATTTCTTACAGCTTCAAATTCCAATCCAATGGGTCACAATAATTAAAGTTAGTACCACAGAAACACTATTTTAATTTCTATGCCCATAATATTAAAATAGTTACGAGATTCTCTATAGTCGAAACAGCAGCAGAAAATATTTTGTGTAATATTAATTAATTAATAAATTGTACTCACTCAGTCCCAAATATTTTTGTAATATTTTTTTTTTCAAAATTTATTGCAATATTTTCAAATTTAAAAATAATTAATAATATTTTTATACATACATTAATATACACTTGATTTTATCTTATCGCATCACTCAAATAAAAAAAACAAATAATCATTCATTCTTTCAATCATATCGCTTAATATCCAAATTATTTTAAATTAATACTCCCCACTTAAATTCTCGTGCCAAACACTTCACATGTATCTGGAACGGTGGGAGTACGTGCTTGCTTATAAAATAAGAAATTATAAAAATGGGGTTTGTTTGGAGACCACAATAAAGGATAAAAACAACCGACCGAATGACCGACAGACCGATGAGTGAGTGATGCAGTGTGTAGTTAGGTGGCTCCGACCTCGGATTTGAACCAAAACCGCCGGCTGTAATGGCGCTCTATAAATCAATCGATTCCCTGCCTCGATCTGCAGAAGTAAGAATTTCTCTATATTGTATTTGTTTGTTTAGTTCGTGAGTTCGATTAATTAATTCCATGGCGAGGAATATGAGTAGTGGTAATGAATCCAGATGCGCTTATTCTTTGTCTTCTTTCGACCAGAGGCTTGCCCTAGCCAAACGCTGTTCTCGCGGTATATGTCTATTTGTTGTAAGAAATTCGATGTTGATTTTGTTCGTTTGTTAGCAATGTGTCTGGATTTTTTTTGATTCGGTTTGTGGTTTTTGACGATGGTGAGTTGGAATTTGGGGATTTTTTTTGGTTTTGTTTTGCAGAGGGTGTAATGGCAGGAGCTAAGGCTGCAGCTGTCGCTACTATTGCTACTGCTATCCCCACTGTATGTATCTATCGTGTATCTATTGATTCAGACACACACTCACGGAGATTTTTGAAATTAATTATTGTAAGAAATTGCAGGTTGCAAGTGCAAGGATGCTGCCATGGGCGAAAGCTCACCTGAATCCCACCGCTCAGGCACTCATCGTCTCCACCGGTCAGTTAATTTAATACAGTAATACATACAGTGGCTATTTGTATATATACACATGGAAATTGAATTGAAATTAATTGGTGATAATGTGAATATGTTGTCACTTGTAATAACTTAACAGTCGCCGGAATGGCATACTTCATAGTCGCCGACAAGACTGTCCTGGCCACCGCCCGCCGGAACTCCTTCACCTCCGCCCATTCAAGCAATAACTGATAAACGGCGCCGCCGTCGATAGTGTCTCCGTTTGAGAGAAGACAACGTTGTAACTTGCTCGTCAATGCCTATGATATTATGATAATATGAAAATTAAATTTACCTGTCATGTGTATATGTATGTAGCTTGACGTTGCAAGCAGCACTGCAGATTTTCATTAAATTTTAAATCAATTAATAAGCAATGCAAAATGGGTTTATCATAATTGGGTTAGCTCGAGGCCCAATATTAAAATGGGCTAGACATAGTCAAATCAGTTCAAGGCCCAATATAAAAATGGGCGAATTCGATTTGTTCCCAGCAAATGAAATTGACAGCGGAGGGGAATGCAGGCAGTATCATATTCTCCAGCGCGAAGGTAGAGCGGGAGAGGAGAAGGTGTACTGAGATGAAGGTATTTACTCGTAATTTCATGTAGTCTGCCATTCATTTGCAGTTTGTGTTGTGCGAATTGGTTTGGCTTGATTGTCGCGTCGATTTGAATGAGTTTTACATGATTTTGTGTTTCGGTACGATTTTGATTCCTTGAGTTGTATGTTTTGATCAATTGTATTGGAATCGGAGCATTCTCGATAAGTTTACCTCAAATTTGTTTCTGAATACATGAATTGAGCAACGGATCAATTAATGAGAGAATAAATCCAGTGGTGTGTGTGATTTTGGTCTGTTCATGTAATCGCTCGTTGGAATATGATATTTCGTGAAGATAAATCTCTCCGTGGATTTGAATGGCTAAAAATCAGGCAAAGCCTTATTTAGAGAAAAGTTCTTCCCTGTGGTCATGTAGATCTGTTTTAGAGAGTGCTCTGCCTGTCAAAAAGCAGAATGTTCAATCTCTGTCTCAATACACATCTGATCCATTGAATGACTTTTATCTTCCTTTTTTCAAGCGTTGTTTCCTATGCTCTGTCCGCTGTAGATTGCGTATTATTTATAGGTCATGTTTAATCTATGAAAACGTGATATGAATGAGTTCGACAAAATTAACTGTTCGCATCATCTCCTCCAAAGTGTTGAACATTTGCTACTGTGCATTATATGGATCCTAATTCTCACTTTGTATAGCCACGATGTTTGACTCCATTCCTATGCTGTTCTTATCTGCAACACTCCTATCCTATGTATGACTGTGTATGAGTGCATGTTTCTTCTGCGACTTATGTAAACATTGTTTAATTGATTCCCTCAGGACAGCTCAAACATGCTCCAAATCTTATGTAAGTTCTCCATGGAGCAGCCTGAGGAAAGAAATCAAACTTCTTCTTTCCATGGTTAGTATAATTTCTTCCTGGCCACCCCCTCCCCTTTTTTCCACTAACACGGCCGTGTTGATTGAATTTTCTTTTTTATCAATTGAAATGTTACATGCAAATTATGACTATATATATGGGTGCGTGTATCTGCATATACTTTCAGATTACATAGACTACAGTAACTTAGGTGCTGGTTGTTAAGGGCAGTTAAAAATTGCAAACAATTATGCTCTGCATGCATCATTTAAAGTACAAATTTCCTTTCTGAATTGATTCAGGCAGGGCGTGGGGGGCACCCCCTCCGTTTCAATTTTCTTTCTGCATTGGTTCAGGCGAGTAGGGCAGTCCCCCCCTTCTCCCATCTCTCCTTTTCTCAATAATTGACATCCTGGCATACGTACGTACACATACATACATACAGACATTGTTGTCTCCTTCTGATTTTCTGATCCATCTATTATGCACTTTTAGTTTTAGTGCCCAATCGTTTTATGTCTGCACGCCCCCACGTGTCAACATCTACCTCTGGGTAAGATGAATCCCCCCTAGTTATTGAATCGAACTGAAGAAAAAAATCGATAAAGAAATCTAAAATTATTTCGAAATCTTGAAATTTATTATTATTATTGCCAGAATTGAAGAGGGTCTTGTTTTTGTAACTAGATTGTGGCAGGGAATACAGTGAAATTAATATAAGAGCTGATGGAAGGTGGGTTTAGGACAGGGAGGGGTAAGGGCCATTTGGGCAGGACACTAGTGACAGTAGTTGGAATAGTGGAGGGAATGGAATTCCCATTGGGTAAATGTACTACCAACCCAGCAAAAAATTAAGGTGTGATTTAAAAAAAAAAAAGAAGTGTTTTATACTCTTCCCTTTTGAATAAGTTCAAAACCTTTTAGTTTGAAGATTAAGAAAATTAATATTTCAATATTACTTTAATACTTTTATAAGGGTATAACAGAATTTCTGTAGGTTTAATAATATAAAATTGGAATTTAAGTACAATGATAGTAAGAAATAAGAGGAGTGATAGATAATAATTATAAATAGATAGAAAAATAGTGAATAAAAATTTTAAAAAAAAATGATACTATTTTTTTACTAGTGAGCGTACCTTTGACTTACAACTTCAAACTATAAAATAAACAGGGTGTGTTTTTTCGAATTTTTTTTTTATATATTTTCTCAAAAAAAATAAATTTATACACACATTTATTGTATTCATATTAGAAAATATTATTTCAAATTATTTCACAAAACAAGTTCTTACAAAACATTAGGAAATAGTATAATATAATATCTTTCTAAATATAGTATTTTTTAAAAATGTAATGTTAAAAACAAGTTCGAAAGCATAGATAAACATAGAATATCAAATTTAGGGTATGTTTAAATATATTGCTAAAAGCAGATTTTTTTTTTTGCCAATATGTTTTAGAAGTGTTTTAGAAATAATAAAAAGTAGTAATATTTTTCAACTCAACATGTTATTTTTATTATTTTTGTTAATTTAATTTAAAAGTATTTATTTTTTATTATAAATAAAAACAATATATATAAATACCGAAATACTATTAATTTTTATAATAAAATCATCTTAAACATTTTTATTTAATAAATATTATTTTTTCGTCTCAACTGAAAGTATTTTTTTACTATTTTTATTTGTTCTACTAGAAAATATTAATTTTTCATTATAGTAAAAGTATGGCACATTAATACTAAAGTATTTTTAATTTTTACATAATTGTAAATATACATAAATAATATTATTTTCTATATTAATTAACAATATAATGTTATTTTTTTAATTTATTAAAAAAATAGTAAAAAAATCAAATAAATACTTTGAATCTGGAGAAATTATATAATTTTCAAACCACGAAAAAGAAAGGTAAGAAGATTACATTGGGACAAAGAGAGGAAAAAATATAAGGTGTGTTTGTAGAGTGTTTTAGTTTGAAGTGTTTTATGTAATGTCAAAAAAAGGTATTAATATTATAAAAAATAATATTTTAAATTAAACTATTATTCTTGTGAGATAATGAAATGTTATATATTATGTGAATATTACTATTTCTATTAATGTTAATTTGAAATAATTACAGAAAAATGATAGGTGAACAAACATATGTACTAGCTTTGAGTCCTCTGTCATAAAAAATAGATGTATATACTTTTGTGCTGTGTACTTCTTATTTTTTATAATAAAAATATAATAATAAAAGTGATATGCTTTTTTTTGGCTAAAAGAAAAACAAACATTTTTTTATTAAAGAAAAAGATTTCTTGATGATATTATATTTTATCTATTTATTTTTATCACATGTTATTATTCTTTCTTGATGATATTATACTTTTATCAGGGGTTATTCTACACATTCAAAAATATTGAACCCTAAAAAATTGGAATAATACCAAAGTCTTTGCCCATCAATCACTGTGGTGAGGCAGAGCAAGAGAGAAAAGGGTGAGTAGCGGTGGGGGTACCCGGCCATCTTAACTACTGAATAGTAGAGAATGGTCGCTAGTCGCTAGTCGCTAGAAAATCAGCACAGTGATTTTTTATTTTTTATTTTTTATTTTTTTTTATTATTTTTTTTTTTTTTAACAGCAATCGATTGTAGTTGAAGAAATTTTGGGCACGGTGGGAGTAAATCATCTCCCTGAATTGAGCCCTCATTTCGATGCGGGATGCTGCGTGGGAGAAAAGGGAATATTTTCCCCTATCCATATTGTCCTGCAACAAAAGCCCTGTAAAGCAAGCCTGTTCAGTTTCCATGTATGTATAGACAACCAATGCATATACCCCACCTAGATCCTACCGCTTTACCCGAAATTGTCCGATAGCCAAACCCCACATATAATCCTTTACCCACACCTCCTTTTCGTGTTCCCTCTTGCCGCAATATCAAATTCCTTTTTTTTACAGGACAAATAATTGAGTTGAATCACCAATGGCCGATAGAGAGAGCCCCAAGAAGGCAGCGATGGCTAATAACGTCAGTAACAAGAAGAAAAAGAAGAGGGGAGGTGCTAAGAGGAGAATGACTGTGGAGCAGACTGTGGCATACAAGGCTGTAAGTGAATGGGTGTTCTTGGACCGCTCCAATAGTTGTGGCAATTCCGTGGCCTCTGCGGATGGATTTCTTGATGATTTTGAGTTGCAGTGGTACCAGCCAAAGGAAAAGCTTGTTTTTGAATTCCATTGCCACACAACATGCAGTGATGGATTCTTGTCCCCTGCCAAGCTTGTTGAGAGGGCACATCAGAGAGGGGTGAGTTTCTGTTCTCCTTGCTTTTCTTCTTTTGATTGTTCACTTCTTTTCCGGCATTATGAAAGACAGTGTTTTTGGTATTGTGTGTTGGTGCTTTTTCTATGTTGCATGTGCCCCCCCCCCCCCCCCCTCTCTCTCTCTCTCTCTCTCTCTCTCTCTCTCTTTATATATTTATGTATGTATTTCTTTGTAGTTGAACTGTTTTCTTGTCCTTTCACTTCTTTGATAGGTTGGGGAAATTATTTGTATTATTATTATTATATATAATTCTTTTCTGTATATATTTGGTGGTTATTTATCTGTAATCAACTTGCCATTGCTTTGTTACAAATTCTTTGACTACTACGACGTATTGTTCAAATATCATTACAAAGATGTGACACTCGAAAGATGTCCTCTTTGAAAGATGTTAACTGTCTTTTCCTGATCAAACATATATTGTATTCTGAAAGGGATTTGGGTTGTTCCCAGATTCAGAGAGTAAAGCAGGAAAGTTAAATTTAAACTGCCAATATCTTAGTGGATAATATGTTAGGAAAGTTTGAAGTTTACAGTCAGTATATTTGCAAAAAATGCCTGTGACATTATAAAGGCATGCCTTATTTGAGAGCATGTTTATGACAGAATTGCATGGGAAAAACAGTTCTAGCTTATAGTTTGAACCTGATTCTAGCATGTCTAGAACTAGCAATGGAGCTTATCTGCTTTCGGTTTGCCATTTCAGGATGCAGGATAAGAATTTATCCTGGTCTAGACCTTTTGGTGAATTAGTGGGATGCAGTTGCAAATTTCACTCAGTTATGTTTATACTTATTGTTTCATTTTTGTAAAGCTTGATCTCGGAAAATAAGAAAACAGAGGGAAAGGAATTAGTTGGAAATTTGGAATGGGAAGAATGTGGACTTTACAAGTCTTTCTATAGCTGCCATTTGCTGTCTGCTACCACCATCCCGTCTGTTATATAGTATGCAACCGAATATCCAATATGAACACTGATATACTGATTATCGTGGAACACAAATTTTCAGTTTGTAAATTGTTTGTCAACAGTGTTCTCTGCTGCCCATTTCTTTTGACTGTCTTATTGTTCCATTATGAATCGATTTTGTTATATTTATTGTGGTATATGCTGCTCATAGAATAAGATTCTTGTAACTTTGTATCTTTACCTTTGCTGCGAAACATGCTGGTGGATTAAAGCTGAAGGGATTAATTATCTAACACATGTCCAGCACAGGTGAAAGTGCTGGCTGTAACAGATCATGATACGATGGCCGGTATCCCTGAGGCAATGGATGCAGCTCAAAGATTTGGCATCAAAATCATTCCAGGCGTTGAAATTAGTACAATTTTCTACTCAAGGTTACGATTGCTGCTTTGCTTAACTTGATACGTACATAATATAAAAATGCTCGCTATTGGTAATTTATTTTTTCCTTTCTCCAAATGCAAAAGGGAAGCTTTTTGATAGTTGCATTATCATCATATATTCTTATTAACAACTGGTTTTGTTTCCGATGCACTTGCTGTGATTGCTTTATTGAGTTGATTATTGATGCTTGTAAATCTAATCGACAGAGGAGACTCAGGACTCGAAGAACCTGTCCACATCCTCGCATATTACAGTAGCTGTGGACCAACAAAACCTGCAACATTGGAGACATTTCTGTCGAATATCCGTGATGGGCGGTTTCTTCGTGCTAGGAATATCGTGTCAAAGCTGAACAAACTCAAGCTACCAATTAAATGGGAAAATGTTGCGAAGATTGCAGGTAAAGGCGTGGCCCCTGGACGCCTTCACATTGCTCGTGCTATGCTTGAAGCAGGACACGTCGAAAATCTGAAACAAGCTTTTAGCCGATATCTTTATGACGGCGGACCTGCATATTCCACGTAATGTTTTCTCCACAATAGTCCACATGTTCCTCGAGCCATTAACAAAAAATTGTTCTATTCTATTTGTTATAGCGGATGTGAGCCTGTTGCCGAAGAAGCAGTGCAGTTAATCTGTGAAACGGGTGGCGTTGCAGTATTAGCTCATCCATGGGCGCTGAAGAATCCTGCTGCCATAGTCAGAAGACTCGCAGATGCTGGTCTACACGGTGTCGAGGCTTATAGAAGTGATGGCAAATTGTCTGGTATTAAAACCTGATTTCTTTCTATTACTCATTGCCGAGATATTGAGTTTTGTGGATTATCTTATCATGCGCGTACGGACAATTTCTATGCAGTGTTCTGTGATTTAGCGGACGCCCACGACCTTTTGAAACTTGGAGGATCCGATTATCATGGGAGAGGGGGACAACATGAGTCTGATGTGGGAAGTGCATCTGTCCCTGTATTGGTTGTCCATGATTTCCTCAAGGTGGCTCGACCAATTTGGCGCGACGCCATCCGAGAAATACTTGAGAACTACATCAAAAATCCAACCGACACGAACTTGCAAAATATCATCAGATTTGCCAAGAGTAAGACATCCAAAGGTAACATACCAAGTGAATTGATCAACCAGTGTTTGTCGACATGGTTGTCGAAGGAAGAAAGGGACTCTGCAGAATTCGAGACCATCAAACTCGAACTTACCCGGGCATCGGATCCCTGAGAAAGATGAGGCCGAGTTGGGTTTGTCCTTTTTCATCGAATATAACTTCAGCGGCGGCAACGCGACAAAGATGGATCAATCAGTCAGTCAGTCAGTCTTCATTGATCAAATCACAGGTTTCTTCTCCCTTTCTCATCCATTTTTATTACATATTTGCTTCAGTTCAAGTTACATTATAGTTCCAAATATTATAACGTGCTTATTTATTAGATTGGGACTTCATAAGTGTCTTGTAAGGATTCTATATATATTCAGGAGCTTTCTACAAAAACTAATTAAGTAATAGATGACATTAAAGTGTTGATTATTCATTTTAAAATAAATCAATGAAGGAACATGATTATTGAAAAGTTGATGTTCTTGTTTAAATGTGTGTGAACGTAGGAATTAGGGGGTAGGTAAATAATGTCATTCTGTATCTGAATAAATGTCATTTACCATGATACATTAGTACCACCAACACAGTCTAGCAACAAAAATGTAAAAACTGCCTGCCTGCCAAAAAAGAAAATAAGAACAAAAATAAAAATAAAAATAAAAATCCGGACACAAGCTTTGACATTCTTAGAGAGGAGCACAGTCTGATATGTGAAACCCTGTTGGCAAATTTGGTATCGATTAGAGTTTCTTCAAGGTCTTATGTTCCTTCTCGACTGGAAGATTGCAAAATACAAGTGGTGTATAGTTTGAGTTTCTCCTTTACTGCCTGCTGTTAAAGGCCTATCTGAGCTTTCCGATCTCCATTTTCTTCCGAATTGCCTTCTTGCTGTGATAAATAAATGAATCCACAATTCCAGCAACCGTGAACGTACCTGGAGTCGACACAAAACAGAATAGTAGGTATTATTTTAGCAGTCACACGCACATGGTGAGATTTCCCTTGAGCCCCATTTGGTTGAAGGAATTTGAGTTAGATGTAATTCAAATGACCTCATCAATTTCATTGGCAATATGAATGAATTTTAAATCTCCAAAGTTAGTCGTGGATTTCAATTCCATCCCATACTCGTTATACTGTGATTTCCAGAACTAATTGATGAGTTTAATTATGAAGTATTCTAAACGAATTCATTTTTAAAAAAAAATCCACCCAAAAATCCAAATCCAACCAACCAATAACAAACACTATTTAATTTGAAGTTTACCTCCAACAATGGCGCAGATATGCGTCAAAAAGTGTAGAAATGGGGTGTGTTCTTCCTTGAAAGTCACCTGGAAACAAACATGCCCACAATAGAAACCGTGCTCTATTTACATACACATATTTTAAAAATTTTGGTACTATTTATCAACACTAATTTTTTCAAAAAAAAAAAAAACATTATAAATTTTTTTAAACAAAATCATCACATATATTGCCACCCAGTATTTTACTATTTCCAAAAAATTGCAAAACTCCAGAGCTCCAGAAACCCCACAGAGCCCAACCTCTACTTAATCATGAATAATAATAATAATAATATAATTACGAACATTTGCAGTGACTTCAAATTCGATCGACCCATATGCATATATTATGCACTAACCTTTATAGGAGAAAGGTCATAATAGAAGAAAACTCCTGGTGGGGATCTGAAATGATCAACTTCAGAACTCTTGTAATGCTCGGTCACTGAGAACTGAATGAATATACAAAAGAAATATATCCAACATGAGCTCACAAATCTAGTTCGATTAATCGATAAGAGTTTCATTTGTGAAAGCCGTGGGTGGATACCTGATTGGATTCTATTGTGTGTCCTCTGATGTTCGTGTACACAGTTGGAACCACCTGATAAATTTTGGGACAACTTTCAGAGCACCGCCAACATTGATTTCATTCTAATATATATACCAATTTCACTAGCAAAAAGCTCGATGTGGCCTTTGCTACAATTACGAATTAGTTTGTTCATGACATCTGTATTTAGAAATAAGCAGGTGTATTATCAGCAATTCATGACTGACCTTGACAAAATATTGATACACGCCGTTAGGCGATTTTTGTGTCCATTCTACCCTGGAAATCAGCAAAAAGGTTGATCAATACTCACAAGGTAACAAGGATATCGTAAAATATATGAAATTTCACATTCATTAGCTTTTGTCAAGTTTTCTGATATTTCCTTAGCAATAAATTTGAAACAAGTGTCATTTTTGTTAAACAATTTAAGCCAAAGGAAGGTCTGAATTAAGAGAGAGAATGCAGCAACTTTGAATTATTCTTCTCATGATTAAATATAAGAGAGTGCAAAACATACAACAGCATGAAACTGGGCTTTAAGAATCAATTTCTTGACTTGTACTCAGGAAGGCGGGATAAATCACTTATTTTGGCTTTTTAATCGAAGATAAAAAATATCACCCTACAAAATGTAACTTTGAATTTTTGCCATAGAGTTCAAAGGACATAGATATATTAAAAACTTAATAAGATTGAGAGGAGTGTGAAGTAAGTTTTACCCATCCAATGGATTTACAATCCCGGGAATAGAGTCTCCAAATGATAATTTGTTAATCTTGTGGGTTATCTGCACGGCAAGATGAAACCAGTAACATATTAAAATCAAGAGCAAATGTATCATAAGGGCCAGCCATTTGGGGAAAGGATGATGAAGATGAAATAATACAAGAATCTAATGTCAATAATGGAAAAGTAGTTCCTTACATTATAACTTTCTGTTTGCAAGGATAGCAAATCGAGCAGCAGAAATGGAGATGGTTGATGAAAGCTTTTACCAGTGGCAAAATGAAAGTTCCCAGCCACCTTGTTGACCTCCAACGAGCCATGTATATTACATCCTTCGCCTTCTTCCTCTTTCACTTTTTGAACAAAACCTTCTCTTTTGCACTAAATACCATGCCATAAATGAGGAGAGATTTTTATTACATGAAAGCAATGAGTTCTATGAAAAATTTTCATCTACGGAACTATAAGCCCTCACGCAATTGAAATCTTCAAAAATACCATACGAATAAACTAATTTCACACGCCGCAACTTCTGTTTTACTACCTAATTTGATTAACAATTAATGATAAATGTTACACAAACCTGATCAATCAAATCAGGATTTGTAAGCCCCCAGCCTTTTTTTCGATATGCTTCGCGAACCTCTTCGCATGAATTGCAGCAGTCATCATCAGACTGCAAAAGAACAAGAAAAATATAGCCACAGACCAATCTGCATTAGAAGTTTCGAGGAAAATAGGCATAGCACAATATGTCATACAAAAAGCAATCTACTTCATCAACAGTTATACTTTTACTGCTAGATTCATAGTTAAGAAAAATGCGGGACAAAAATGCTGAAAAGGAAAGTATTTTGTAAGACCATTATCGCAACAGTTCCTTCCCCAATTTTCAAGTACATAACAATCTATAGACAAGTATTTTGTAAGACCAAGAATTGTGATTATATCCGTTACACATCGAGAAGGGAATAGCTTGCAGATCTTCATCTAAGGGCTTCTTTACTATGAGGGATAGAATGGGATTATTTGTTTGTTATTATTTCTATTTCAGGATCTCCCAAAGTATTTGGACTTTCTTTACTTTATACTCAGTTCTCCGCTTTTACCCCTCACACACAATTTACAAAAATCAATCACAAACAAAAGGTAAAGGTAGTATAATTATTATATACTCGTATCCCACCAAGCATAGTATACACACCATAAAGCCTACCATGTTTTTCAGTTCAAGTACATTTAAGGCTTGCAGGAAAGATCGCTTCTTCTAGTTGGCGATTCATTGGGGCTAACATCTAGTTGGTGATTTGTCAGGTTAATGATGATATCATGATAATAATGCAGGCAACATATGGGACAAAACTGAACATACATAATCAAGAAGTGGTGATTGGTTGTGTATCCAATTTTATGTGTGGGCTTGGTTTGGAATAAGATTAAGTCATTAAACACCACAGAAGACAGTTTAAAAAGGTTCATAAAAATACCGCTTCAGCACCGAAACATGAGCCACAGTATTTCTCATTTTCCTCAAGTCTGCCACCATGTCTTTGCAAAGGCCTCTCAATCTGAAATTAACACATTCAGGAGAAGGCAAAATGAGTAAACTATTTCAAGATTTGAAAGGTAGGAGATATATATATATATGCATATTAATAGAAAAGACTGCATTGAGAAATTTGAGTATAAAACATTTCAACACTATAAATGACATTCATTATATTATGTTAGGATCAAAACATATGTGGCCAAATATATTTGCACTTAAGTATAGAAAAAAGTGATATATATGATTGGCAGGATATAGAATGAAGATGAACTTAATGCCAAATGCTGTTTCATAATTCATTATATTCCAAGAACTAAAAATGATTTAGCAAGAAAATGTACTGGCAGCTCAAAACTTGGAAGCATATCTTAGCATTTGCGAAATCCACAAAGAGAATAAATAAGTGTGCAATGCACGCATGCTATGATATCACAAATTCATTCAATTACTAACGCAAAGTCAATATAATTTTCTAATGAATGTTACTAGATACAAAAGGCAAAAAAATCAATCATGGTGATATAAAGAGAGAAATATCCGGTATGATGATTGATATGCAAAATGAAAGAGGCAAGTCTCACTAACCTTAGGTGCACCAATTCCATCTTGTCTCACTTCTATGACATTTCCATGAGAATCAATTCTTTTCTTGAATATGTCGTGTCTCTGCAAGTTTCGCAAAGCATAAAATTGAAAACATCGGGCAAAATATGTAAGGAAACGAGATCAGAAACTTAAAAGGAAATACAAGAATCTTGATAATAAGATTAAAAGCAATCAATACAAAGTGAAAGGATCCAAATTCATCACATACTATGTCCAAATGTCGCTCCCCACTGATATCCATTGCATCTAGACTCAGCAAAGAACACGGAACCTCAGGAAATGATACATCAAACTGCATTTTCAGAAACACAAATTGTAATTCCTTGTGAAAATAAACAAATTCAGATCATAGACGAGATTACCAAATGATCGACCTCAAGTCTAAGTCAAGAGGGAAAGAACATTAACCAGTATCAGAATATAATGCTTAGAAGTTCATAGGCAGTAGTGCAAAGATTGGGCCAACAAGGAAATATCGCAGAAAATTTCTTAGATAAAACAAATGGTGGATATCTTACATTGATTCGCAACTTTCCTCCCCTAGATGTGTCTACGACAAGCTTGGTGTCTGTAACAGTGTGTAAATACAACCCTACAAATCGATAGGCCAGTAAATATCCGTCATAATAAGGAAGAAAAAATAACACCTAACACAAAGAAAAGATTCTCTGCTGACATATACTGATATATTAATTCATGTCTCCCAAAGTAGCTCGCAATAGAAAACAAAATTGCTAGAATCCGCAAGATTGGTTGCTAGTCATCCAATCTATGATTCTTTGTAACAAGGAAAAGATTTGTTCTCACGAACTCGTGTGTAGAACAAGATAAATGTAACAACTAATGCATCAGCACAGCCCCGACTTTCTATAAAACACCAATGATGTCATACAAAATGTAAACACCTCATCCATTGGAATGAGGTTATTACTACTCACATACGAACAAGGAAAAAGAAAAGCGAGAAAGTCCTTGCATAGAGGATATTCAAAAAATACATACATACATACATTTGGGCATACTATATTGATTACCATAGTCTAACTATTTCGAATTCGTTGCTTCTCCACTCCATTTGCTCTAGAAATTTCAGAGAAATGGTGAAGGCTTTAGAAAATTATATTATATATATATATATTAAAAGATGGGTATTCTGCCATTGGTTAGTTCAGCCTTTTACATAGAACATTTCAACAAATTAATTGTTAGAATTCAATCGTATCCCAAGTTTTCTGAAATCAATTCATTGCCAACACCTAACTTCCCAATCTCCAACATGATCCGTATAACAAATCCCTAGATCTACTCATAAACGTTTCAGCATTTTCTATTCCCCTCAAAGTCCCATCTTGGTGTTCCCATTTCCATTCCCCATTTCACTCTCCAAAACAATAGATCGAATCTCAAACAAACAAGTCAACCAAAAACAGCACAGAAGTAGGAAACACAAAAATCCCCATTCCCTCCGCCATTAAAAGGAGAAAACTAGAAATGTTTAAAAAAAAAAAAATCAAAATTAACCCCAAACACGAACACAAAACACAGGCAGAATAGAAGTTAACCCTGCGGTTGCAAAACAACGGCAAGGAATCGAAACCAAAAGGAATGAGCGAGAAGCACATACTGAACTCGGAGATGAAGAGCAAGGCAATGAAGATGGAGGAGACGAGCGTGATAAGGCCGCCGGAAAGCGTACGGCTGTAGAAATCCTCGTTGATTTTGGGATAGGCATCCAAATTCCGCAACCTGTTGAACACTTTATCCATGGCTAGGCTAATTAAGAATAGAGAAACCAAACCAATAACAACAAGTGGTGAATCCCGAGATGTGTTTTTATGGCCGCCCGCCCCAGGCCAGAATGAATTTGTGCTGTGTTGAATGGTTCGGCTGGCAGCAACCAACGAACGATAGAACGAACGATCCCGGGGCAACGAGGGATGGCCGGCAGCGGAAGGAGCGAGAAAGAGAGAGACAGAGAAAAGAAAGAAGAGGAAATCAGAGACAGATAATTACGAGGGTTTGACTACCTACGGAATTCCTATTTACCTTTCTTTTAGTTACGCCTCTTTCTCCATTTCCGTATATTTCTCCTCTATATCTATCCCCTCCTCTTTCTCTCTTTCTTTCTCCCTACATACATACATACGTACATATAGACATTAGATTGGATGTCTTATTTTTAGTAATTAATTAATAAATTGTGTATACGTGAATTTAGCGTGACATTTTATTTATTTTTTAGCGATTATGCTGCTAATTCTCAAAATCAAAGCTATATTGATTTCCAGCACAATACTCGTCAAAACTTGAGAATGCATCCATTAAAACACATGCTTTCTTGACTTTGATCCCGAATTTTTGAATTGATGAAATCATCAGGATTTTATATATGTCTTATAAAAATACGTCATTTTTTTAGTTCCACTTGTTGTATTCGATTTATTGTAAATAATTAAATAATATAATTAAAATTAAAAATTATAAACTATAAATTTAAAATAAAATTAAAATATATAATTATATTTAATAAAATGACAAATAAGATATAATGGAAAAACAAAATAGAAATAGTGAAAATGGAGAGAATATATATGCTTTTGTCAGTGTTTTTGATTTGATATTTTAATTTTGATGTGAAGTACAATAAACTTGTGATAATATAAAAATAATATTTTATATTAAATATTAATTTTTTTTGAATATATTAGTAATCGTGTTTGAAAAAAAAATAAAAATTGTGTGAATAATAATATCTGTAAAAATAAACACGATGCTCTAAGCATCGAAACTGAACAGTTTATATTATTAACTTGCATTTTATACATTGTCCGCCTCTGTTTAGAAGTGCTGTCGAATATTACACAGCATGCACAGCACATACTCCTACATTCATGGCAAATCAAGTGAGAATTAGAGGTAATAATATACATACATCCATATACATATACATATATATATGTGTATGTATAGTAAAAGCTAAAATCAGTGGAAACAATGAAGACTTAACCTCACTTTACAATGCAAATTTGTTCTATAGATTACAAAACCAGTTACAGTGAGAGAGAAAGAGAGATACAACAGTCGGGTTCGGTTCGGGTTTTCAGTTTCGGCCGCAAACATACAACGCCGACGATCTTGCTCGGCGTCTGTACTCTAGCCGCCGGAGATCTTCTTCTCCGCGTCGGATGCAGCTTCCTCACAAATAGCTGAATTCTCGACCATTAGAGGTGCGCCGGCGATGGATCCGCGAACCTGATGTGGACAGCAATGGCTGCCATTAATGGATTGTGCGATTATTGTTACCGAGCATGGCGAGAGAGGAACTTACTGCATTAGGCGACTTGAACGCCGGGGCAGGTTTGGCAGATGACTCCGAAGGCCGGTGAAAGAGGAGGTGTGCGATGGATCGATCGATTGGATTTGTATCCGTTTCCATGTCCATGAAACTGGAGAATTACTCGTCATTAGGAAGATTCGAATAGTAGAGTAAGAACAGGAAGGTTAAGAAATCAAGAAAATTGGAAACGTACTTATTTGTTCCATCGGCAATGAAAGGTCCGGCGGCATCTGGCTCCTGCGCACCGCCGCCATGGATGTTGCCCCGATTATGTCTTTGCTCGGCGCTCCGAGCCAGTCGGTATAAACTGTCCCTAATGCATAACTTGGTTCTCAGATCCAACTAATCCAAGAACCATAGACAAAATTAGTATCTGTACTGCCATCCGTATGATTTTTAATAAAAGTATAATCATCTCAAGATACTATTTAAACAAAAATTCAAGAAAAAAAAAAAAAAACTCAAAACAAACAAAGCTGAATGCAGAAAAGTATGCATACAACATTTCATTATAATGATCATATTCAGATGCGCAACAGATATGGAACTTAAATTTTCCTAAGAACTTAGTTAGAAGTTTAAATCAGATAGCCTTCTAGGATGATGCATGGAACAGTGCACCAGTTTCGACAAAGTATGAAGTTTGATGAGACGAGAAAAGATTAATTAGGTATCGAGGAGGGTATTATTTATACCTGTTCCATGACAAGTTGAAGCTGGTGAAAACTGGCAGCTTCGAGTGAGACATCATCCACGCCTGAACTTATTGTCGAGCTTTCTTGTACGCCTGAGGATCCTAGATGTCCGGGGATGACAAGGTTGACTCCTTCGATGTCGCTGTGATTCTCTACCTTATCCCCGTAACAGTTGACCTGTTTCCCAATCAACATGTTGCTTGTGGCACTCTGTTTTTTCAGGTTGCTACTGGCAGAAGATCGACTACCTTGACGACTGTGCAGCTTTTCTCTTCTTCCGCTACTGACTGCAGTTACTTGAAATTTAGGATCCTTAGAACTCTCCATGAATTTTAAGTGGTTGGATGCTCGGGAGGAATCTCTTGGTGAATGAAATCCAATGTCGTTGTTCTCGGATTTGACAGGAGAAAGTGTTGGGAATACTGAAGTCAAACCAGACATATTATGACTGTTATCAAGAGAGAGGGGATTCTGTACATAATTAGACGAATCTGAGCTCGGAGCTTGTTTTTGCATTAGAGCCTGGTCAAGAATGGCCTCAGATGCCATCTCTATCATTTCATTTGGCTGGTTGTTGATGAAGCTGAATCCACCATTCATGAAATAGGGATCATTGATTTTCCCCAAATTCTGATCTTGTAGATTAAATTGCTTTTTGTCGTCGCCAATCTGCCAAGCATATCAAATACAAATTAGATTGCATTCCTTCAGACAGATCAAAGCTGCAACCTATAAAAGGTTTTGTTAATCCTATTGATTTCAAAGCATATATATCATATGTGAGAATAGAATATCTAAAAACAGCTCAAGGAATTTAAAGCAATAACAAGAATGATAGATTCACAGTGACCTGTTCATTGAGGATATGCCCTTCTGGTTTATCAGCCAATGGAGGTCCATTCACAAAATACATGCAAGAATCGGAGTTCTCCAAGGCCCAAGAATTTCCTTTGTTAGCGGCAGAATCATTGATGCAACTGCTCGTTGAGGAGCCATGACCTTGTGATAATTTTTCTACAGAACTTGCCTCCGGACATGGGATCCTAAAATCATGTCTCAATCCACCTCCTGATCCTTCGATGTTATCAGCTGATGCAAGCCAGCCCAGCTCATCTTCTTTATCGGCTCCAAGTCCAAATGTCGAATCACAGCTCCTGCAAGAATAGGCACACATGTATAAGAGAGAGAGTGTGAGAGAGAGGAGAGAAACTAGGGAGAATACATTAACAATGAGAATGGTTCAGCATTACCTGAACATCTTGTCAACATCTTCAAAGTTCTCTATTTCAGGCAAATCGTAATACAACAAATCACTTGAATCTTTGTCCTCGGTATTCTCGGAGAAGTCAAAATTATTGCCAGTATAAGACACATCACTGATTGGATAGCTTAAACTTTTATCCATTGCAGATGTCTTATCACCAAGAAGAGTATCATTGGCATCGAATTCAACTGTTTTCTTCTCTGAGATCGGCAATGCAGTATTTTCAGAAGCTGCACTCGATGCTTTTTTTATTGAAACAGAGTCAGATGAAGAAAGAAATGCACCACAAGGTGAATGAGACCATGAATCTTTTTCCAACATTGTGTTTCTTCTGTCACTCTCAGCTGATGAAAGTCCCTTTAGTTCTCTTCCCTGGTTAGCATATCGCATAGAAGATTTATCTTTGGTATTATGCAGCTTTGTTACTTCAAGCCGCGGCTTTTTGTTGCTATCACCGAGGATGTAAGGATTGTCAGGCTGTTCAATATCAGATAAGGGTACCAAATGATCATCGCTACCGCAGAACTCATCCCAAACTATGTCTTCAAACTGTAATAGGAGTTACGTAATTTTAGCTGTACTAACTGCATGGGATACTTCCACAAAATGAGTTAAACAATACTAAAAAATGAAAATTACAGCAAACCTCCAAGAACAAAAAGCTCGCGAGTGTTGGAATCAAATAGTCCAATTACAAAATATGAACTAAGTGAGCCTATTTCAAATCTAGAAGAAGCAGAATGTGTCCAAGATTAATATATATATATATATATGTATGTATATCCTTGATGCATAATAGTCACGATTTCCTATTCTCATCATTAGATGATTACATGCATCACTGGCCCCACAAATTTTTGAGGACCTTCATCAAAGTGTTAATCTGCCCATTCATTTGAAAACACATGAGAAGTAAAAGCTAAATAATGAGATTGATAAGGTAATTAGGTTAACGCTGTCAAAATCAAATCTGTTATTATGAACTACTCATAAAGATTGCACATGGATGCATGTCATGACAGTGCATTAAGAACTTGTTATTGGTAAAAAGATAACAGTTCATCTGCTATTTATACTTAACATTGATTTTAACCTGAGTACCTTGCCATTCTCCTGGAATTAATAACATGCTTAGTCAAAATCTATAAACAGTAACATTTTATGGCCATCTTTCTACAACTTCAACAAGATAATTCAATGAATTATCAATCATACAAGAGACACTGCACTAAATGACATTCATGTGCACACTTTAATCAAATGAACAGCACCTGAATTATTCAATCAGAATATTCTGTTGATATATATACTGTCTATGCTCACTATCATTTACGAAAGTTATAAGGAAGAATGAGCACGAACCTGATACATGCACAAGTCAGACATTACTGCAAGTGTTCAACCAGCACTCAAACTGTATGAAGTTCTTCTCATGTTTGTGTACAAAACCCTTCTTCCACCTCCGATCACAAAATCCACAAAAGAAACAAACAAACAAAAAAACTATTAGAAACCAGTAACAGGGCAACTACAAAGACAACTAAAACTCAACTCAATATATTTCCTATTTATGATTTATGCAGTAGACAATACAAATATCAGGAAATCACAGCAGATTGAATCAATAACAATAAAACAAAATCAACACACTATCACGCAGACCTTGAACTTGATTCAGGGAAATTATATATATATATATATATACCAGTGATACAAAGACAAATTAAGTCAATTTTCTTACTAATGAATCATCAAATTTCTTAATTTCAGAATCCTTCAAATCCCCTAAAAATAAATAAACTAAGATCAACCGAAAACCCCTTAAAAAGAGAGTATGTTTACCTATAGAGTAAAAAGGCTCTCCAAATAACGAATTTCTTCAAAAAAATAAGTAAAAAACGGATCCGATAGCTAACCTAATCCATCCGATGTGTACCAAATCATCAAAACTCTAATCAGCTTCAATTGAAAGATAACAAGAAGAAATCTACACTAAAGAATATTCGATCTACATCTTTCCTATATCAAATCAACCTAAAAAAAGGCAAATCAATCAGTCTAAACCAAATTAGCCATCACCCTACCAGCTGAAGCTCGCCGGAAAACTCAGCGAACCGCCCCCAAATCGGGCATCAAAAGCCAACACAGAGCTGAAATCTGTAAAGTCTACAGGTCGAAAGTAGCAACCCTAGCTCGGATTCCTGGGAGCGTCGAATCTGGAGATGGGATGTTCTAGAAAGCACGAGAGCGAAGAGGCTAGGCAAAAATGAAAGAGCTTCTCTCTGTATGTCTCTGGCCAAGAAAATTTCTCAGAGAAGAATAATATAATAATAATAATAATAAATAATAAAAAAATAATAGATAAATAGGAGTCACGGAGGGGAGGCCACGTGGGCTGGCGATGGACACAAAGGGGCGGCAGAGTATCAAACTGGTGGACGCAAGGGCTTGTCCGGATACGATCTCTTTCCGCCCTCTCATTGGTCCACGTCTTCCACCTCCATACACTGGCGTATTGTGCCGTCTGTATCTGGTTCCAGCTCGCTCATGCTAAGGGTAAAACGGGTATTTCCGTTTCATTCCACTTACTCGAATAAAATTCTCAGTGCTTACTTTTACAAATATTTGTTAAAATATAGGGTGTGTTTGTTCTGTATTTTGGTTTTTTTAAAAAGATATTATATAAAGTATATAAAATTGTGTAGATAATATTTAAAATAATGAGTTTGTATAGTATATTTGGTTGTCTCCGTTAATTTGTTTATTAGTTTGGCACGAAATTTTAGTATTATATAATTAGTAAATAATTAAAAATTGTATTAGTAAAAATGATTATAAATTAGAATTAAAATGAATAAATAATTCAATTAAAATAAAAAATTTATGAATTATAAATTTTAAAATATAATTAAAGTGTATAATTTTATTTTTGAAAAAATAATAAATTATGTGGAATAAACGTATATAGAGTTGAAAAAGATACAAACCTATACTCCTTCCATCGACCCGTTGGATAAAAATATGTTTATTTAATTTGGTTTGGACATGAAATTTTAATATTACGTGTACTTTTTATTTTTCTAATAATTTGATATTAATTTTTAGAAATTAAAATAAAATGAAATGAAATAACATATACAAAAGACAAAAATCTTAAGGTCCGATTTGCTTAAAAAAAATTGGATTTGAATGTTGATTTTTTAATTCATTGAGAAATTTGGGTTAAAAAAAAAAAAAATTCAATTTACTGCATTAAATCCATGACTTCATGGTCACAAGTCTAACCCTACACCATCAGGCCATCCTTACGGGACCATTTAATCAATTAGTTTTGTTTATCAATGTAATAGATTTCAAATTTATCCTTTGAGTATTTCAAATCATTTTTCTAGTACATTATCTTGAATATTGTCTCACATTTGATATAACGTGCACTAAAAAAAATAGTATATTAGTAACAGAATTCTGTTCATAAAGTCTTTGTAGTTAACGCAATTTTCTCTCTAATTCCGTCTCTAATGTCTTTGGTAACGGAAAAAGGAATTTAGAGAAAAAAAAAAAAACTTTGTTACAAAATTAATATTTTTTTTTATTTTTTATTTTTTTTTTTTTGTAGTGGTGGGAACTCCATTGGTTTATAAAAGTGAAGAGTCTCTCCATCTATCTCATGTATTGGATATTTTTCGAGGGTGAGTGTTAAATATAGTAAAAATATTTAATTTGACGAGGAAAAAAATACACCTTAATTATAAAGTATTTTAAATCATAACTATTGCAAATGCAATAATTTAAAATCAACCTTTAGAAAAAAAATAAAAATAAAAATCGTCCAACAAAACGTGGCATGACGCAAGAATGCATTTGACTTATTGGTTTAAAATATTTTGTAATTAAAACCTATCGTTTTGCACGAGATATTTGAAAGGACAAAAAATATATTGGGTGGTTGGGGTTTGTTTGTTTAGTGGTTTATTTTGATTTTTTTTTTTTTTTTAATATGGAGTATAGAAAATTATGTAATAATATAAAAGATAATGTTTTATATTAATTGTTGATTTTTATGAAAGAAAAAATTATATAGAAAATTGTGTCAAAAAGAAATATTAAAAGAAAGCTCCTTTACAATAATTTTTATATTTAAACTTCCTCACATTATCAAATAAAACTAATGAAAACTTAATAAAGACATTTTACATACATTTTACCGAAATATATCTAACCAAACAGGGCATAACGCTTCTTGTATCTTTATTTTTATTTATTTATTTATTTATTTTTGCCAATTTTTCTATTATACAACTATGGATAGAGATACATGCTGACATAATATGCCATGTTTGTTTGGTTTTTTATTTAAGTTTGGGGAATTTATTTGAATTTTAGTTTAAAGGATATTTTGATGTAAATGTCACTTGGTTTTTTATTTAAGTTTGGGGGATTTATTTGAATTTTAGTTTAAAGGATATTTTGATGTAAATTGTCACTATATTTTGGATTGGTCAATTTAAAAATACTAAAAAATAAATACTTCATTCACTTGCTAATAATTAAAGTATTGAGATATTTTAAATATTCAAATTTAAATTTAGTAGATATATATTTAGATTTGATCATATTCATAGATTAGATTACTTAGATGAGTCTATTGAGTTGTTTTATATTGTCTATATATAGGCTATTTTTCCTCAAAATTTCTAACATGTTATCAGAGCTTATTTTTCTATGCCGTAGATATAGCCTACCAACCCGTGTTTCTCCGGGTACATTCAACTTGGATTGTACCCGGAGGTCTTCTGATTTTGAATTAATGTCTTTGCAAGTTGTCTTTTTGCAAATCTGTCTCGTCTCGTCTCCGATCTGTCATATGTCCGCTGCTTGTCTGTTGCCTATGTGCAATTTGAAATCTTCGTTGTTTGTTTGTTGCCTGCGAGTGATCTGAAACGATTTGCCATATGTCCATTGTTGTCTGTTGTTGCGTGCGATCTGCCATTTGTTGCTGCGTGCGATCTTCCATCTATCGTTGTCTGTCTGTTGCTGCGTGCGATCTGCCATTTGTCGTTGTCTGTCTGTTGCCAGCGTATGATCTGCCATCTTTCGTTGCTTATTTGTTACCGAAAATCTGTATATGATCTGTCATCTGTCCGTTGTTTGTCTGTTGCCGGCATGATCTGATATGTCTGATGTTTGCGATTTGTCTGTTTTCGGCTCTGGTGGAGTCATATCGTTTTCGGCTCCGGTTGAGTCATCTCGTTTTTGGCTCGTTTTCGACTCCGGTGGAGAGTCATCTCGTGTTCGGTTTGGTGGAGTCATCTCGTTTTCGGTTCCAGTGGAGTCATATTATTTTCAGTTACGGTGGAGTCATCTCGTTTTTTGCTCCGGTGGAGAATATCTCGTTTTCGACTCCGGTGGAGAGTCATCTCGTTTTTTGCTCCTGTGGGTGGAGAGTCAATTGCTAATTTTATTTATGTTTTCTTTTTGAATTTATATTCAAATTTCTCATCAAACTCAAGTTGGCTTCTATTATACCACTTGAATTTGAAAGGTGTTGAGATATTTTAGATATTGAGATTTAGATTTAGTAGATTTATATCTAGATTTGATCGTATTCATAGATTAGATTACTTATATTTGAGTCTATCTAGTTGTTTTGTATTGCCATATATAAGCTTTTTATTTTGATAATTAAGATGACCATCTCATTATTTTTCCTCAAAATTTTTAACTTAAGATATATTTTCTTATTTAATAAAAATATAAATGCAATTGATGACTAATGTCTAATCTTTAAAGTTTCTTTGTATAATTCAAACTTACCAGTTTTTAAAAATATTTATTCATTTAAAATTCATACTTTTTAAATTAAAATACATGGTAGCAAAATGGGCTCAATTAATTGCGTTGAATTTGGAGTGTTCAAAAATATATCTTTAAATCAGGAAAATATAATTAATTAAATAAATAAAAATAAGACAATGATTTGTGCCACCGAATAATTTGTCACATCAAAATATCACATTACCTTAACACAGAGTGAGCTGTTCCATATCCGTTTGATGCATAATTGGAAGTGACTTTTTTTATATTAATCAAATCAGATGTCATCCAAACAGGGCTCAATTGATTGTACAAATGTTGCGCAACAACGCGCAATCTCATCTCTGTCGCATACCTAAAAGCACAAGGTTCTGTTTGTTTCCTTTTTATAAAATAAATAAATAATAATCCTTTGTGTTGTCGGATTCCAATGTTAACATGTAAAGCATAACACAATGGTTTATTTAACGCATCACATTATGTGTTAAATAAAAATATATAATTGCGCTAAATTTACTTTTAAATTGTATTATATTTTATTATAACATATTTTTAGGTATTGTATTTATATTATATTTTCTTTTTCTGATAAATTTATAATATCTGGATCCGGCATAAAAATTAAAAAGAAAAATTATTATTTCATTGCAAAATTAATAAAAGTAAAAAATTAGTTGGAAATAGTTTTGGAAATTTAGTTAATTTTTAAAAAAATAATAAAAAAGAAAGATATAATTTATAAATACAATGATATTCGAATAAATGATAATAGTTACATTTTATTTTATTTTTTTTACTTTGCAAAATTACTAATAAATAAACCCCCGAACTAACCCCAGGCCCGACAGGAAACCCATGACCTCGCGGTGACAAGTTCAACCTCTACACCATCAGGCCGTCCCTTACGGGACTTGTATATGTAAAATCAACATAAGTAGTGCATTCACACCGTACAACTATATGCTTTTATTTAAAAAAACATATATAATTATTTGTATCTATAGTATTGTCAATACCGTGTTGATTTTTTTCATTAAAAAAAAAATATTTACAATCACTAAAAAAATAATATATTTGTAACAGAATTTCGTTCCTAAAGTTCACGTAGCTAACATAATTTCATTCCTAATTCCGTCTCTAATGTCATTAGTAACGGAAAAAATAGATTTAGAGATACAAATATTTTGTTACAAAAATGATTTTTTTTCTTATAGTGAATTGGAGAATATAAATTCCTCCCCCGCCCAATTTTTTTTTTTTTTTTTTTTTTTTAAAAAGAAGCTAAACTACTCTTGTATCTATATGTCCTTTATTATTTTACACATGAATTAAGAAATTGATTTTTATTTCTTTTATAACGGCATTCCTCGAGGACGGGCGACGCATACGGCTGGAGCCAAGGCGGCAGCGGCTGCCCATGCTTATGGATTAAAATAAAATAATGGCAAATTGATTATAATTTATTAAAATTAAAGTAATAAAATTATAGGTGAAT